AGCTGAGCCATTTTTTTTTCTTAAATGGAGGAGGGAAACGAAACCCTTCTATTCATTTTTTCATTTCCTCATCTTTCACAGTTGCAGAGGTGATACCACACCCATTTACTATTCCTAGATGTGAACCACATGTGAACCAAGTATTAATTTATTTGATATAAATCATTCATTTTAAAGTTAAGTTTTATTATGAGTTTTTGTAATGCATCAGATTATTATAAGATTGTGTTCTTTGTTGTTTATATGGAGTTGTCCTTAAATGTTTTTATTACTGATGTGTGTGAGGGCTTTTCTTTTTCTTTTCGTGAAATCACTTGGTGATGTTTTATGGGAAGCAATTCATAAATGGAATTAATTAGTTAAAAGAGGTGTCAGGATTGTAGCCTAGCAAACTTGGGGTTTGGGGGACAGGTCCTCTACCTCCCTTTAAGAAGAATGTTCTTTTCCGCAATTGATCAATTTTATAAAGAATAATGATGGATTTTCCTCATGAGGAGATTAATGGAGATTGGCTTCATCTTTCCATTTTGTTTTACCCAGCTCACTTTAAAGGAAGGCTGTTCATGTCAGTGTTCAATCAAACAACATAAGTTTGTTTTCATGGCTTGACAATATCCCCCTCAACACACACATACACAAACATGCTTTTGAGCACATTTTACTCACTAATTACTTTTGGCATCAGATCTATCACTGTGCCACTTAGGATGTACCTACAGATCTTGTTGTTTTATAAAAACAACAGTACCCGTAGCCAATTTGTTATTAAATTGCCTTATCTTCAGAATTACATATATAATTATGCAAGACACAACTCAATAAATTTCATTATTAAGTATGCTTTCCCTCCCCTAAGACTTGTTGTGGCAATAAGCGTTTTCATCGCTAAGTGGCAAAATGCCCAGGCTAATTTGTATTTGAAGGCCAAGACTGGGATGTTTTCTGTTCCCCCCGCCCTTTCATCATGAAGTCACAATCACAGGTGCACAGAATGCTATTTGCAGACCCACACCTAGTGCCTTCATCCCACCCCCACAAGCAAAGACATTAAGCAATGCAAGATGGAGCAAACTTGACACAACTTATTTCTGGGGTTTGAAAATTTGCTCACAACATTCTTGATTACAGATGTTGGTGGGCTTTGGCTCAGGCACTGGGTATGTATTGATGATCAGTCTCCTGGCAGAAGGCTGAAGTTAGGACAGGGTCATGCCTGGGATATGGACCACCTCAAGATGCAGGTCAACTAAGGTGGTCCAGCTCAGACTGCTGCTGGAAGCTCTAGGGCCCATTTGCACCACACTTGGTTTCTGGACAAAGGCTTCCACTTAGACCCCTCTATTGGGGTACCCTGAGATCATACCTGCTTGAGGTTGGAGTGATGCACCAATTCGCCCTGAACCTGGGATTGGACTAAGGATTCCATCCAATGCCTTATCCATCTCTTGCCGGCTCTCCAGCAAACCAACCTATAGCTGCTAAGCAGTGGCTTGTGATGATTCCCCCCCCTTTTTTTGTAGAAGAATACAGCCAGCTTGTGAGTGTTATAGGGAAGGGGCAACCTTGCGTGCATGACATCACAATGCCACACACCTCCCTCTCTAAGCTGAGCAGAAGCTTCCCAGGCTTTGGGAAGGAGGTGTCTGTCATTGAAATTCTACTCAATATTGATCCAGAGTAGATTCCATTGTATAGTTAGCAGAGTAGAAACTTAAACACGTTGCAGGATTCCCCCCAAAATAGACCAGAGCCAGTTATATTTCATCCAGCAGAGCTTTACTACTACTGAAGGCAAATGAGCATAAAGGTCACAAATCCAATACATTCAGGATTGGCACAGTCCATAAGAAATCCAGTTGCAGCAGACTTAAACTTACAATAAGTCTAAACTTTATACAGTGGTACCTCAGTTTACGAACAGTCCTGTTTATGAACTATTCAGTTTACGAACTCCGTAAAACTGGAAGTAGTGTTCCGGTTTGCAAACTTTACCTCGGTATATGAACGGAAGCCGAACAGTGGAAGGGCACTGGCGGTGGGAGGCCTCATTAGGGAAAGCGTGCCTCGGTTTAAGTGCACTGTGGTTTAAGAACGGACTTCAGGAATGGATTAAGTTCGTAAACCGAGGTACCACTGTATACAGAACACCACACCAGAACGAGAAAGGATAGAAAGAGAAAGTGAAACCCAGTCTCCTTCTGGCCTTACTTTTATAGTCAGCATAACCTTGACAGAAGAGATAACAGAACCAGTTTAAACTTGCTGTACTCAGCTTCTCTGAAGGAATAACCCAAACATCATGCTGACAGGATGCTGGAGCCCTGCTGCCTACTTCTCAAAGCTGCACGGACTTTGGGAAGGTGGTGGGAGGGCTCTTGGACCTCTTAGACTAGCCTAGTCCCCCATATCAACTGACCACACGCCACTGGCTGCAACCAATCCTCCTTTCTCCCCATGCACATCAAGTAGTCAGCTCTCGTTTCCCCCAGGAGACAAATGTACGCCGTCAGGCCTGTTAAAGTCTCTTTTGTCAAACAGCCTGCCTGGGTGCAGAATGACCCGGCCACCTAAGCACTCCATCACTCGCCACAACACTTTGTTCTCTTTCCAGAGAGTGTGATTGATGTGGGCTGGTTCTTTCAACGCCTTGTCACTGTTGCCACAGCAGGAGTTCTGACCATATTATTTTGAGGTTGGGTTGCGCTGTACACAGTTTCTCAAGGTTGGAAATCACCACCAGGATAAGATCAATGTCATTCCGTGTGAGCAATTTTTTAAAATTTATTTTTTGCCTAGCTTTCAGACTTAACACACCAGGGGAACCATGTCTTGCTATGCTGTGCTCCAGTTTGGAGATATGGGCAGCCCACTGCAAGCTGTGCTTGCCCCTCCATGTGATCACACAAACATGCTCTGAGCACATTTTACTCACTAATTACTTTTGACATCAGATCTATCACTGCGCCACTTAGGATGTACCTACAGATCTTGTTTTACAAAAAGAATGGCACCCGTAGCCAATTTGTTATTAAATTGCCATATCTTCAAAATTACACATGTAATTATGCAAAACACAACTCAATAAATTCCATTATTAAGTATGTTTTTCCTCCCCAAAGACTAGTTGTGGCAATAAGCATTTCCGTAGCCAAGTGGCAAAATGCCCAGGCAAATTTGTATCTGAAGGCCAAGAATGGGATGTTTTCGATTCTGCTCCCCCTTTCATCATGCATTTGCCATCACTGCTGCCCATAGTGCTTTCTGTGAACCAGTGTGGTTCCCTGCGCATGTTTTTGGACTACAACTCCCATAATCTCTGACCATATTTACCTTGCTGGCTGGGGCTTACAGGAGCTCAATGTGAGGCCGAGATACATATACATCCATTATTATCACCAGATCTTACAGCCCAGTATTTCTTATATTTGTGCTTATCAAAACTAGCCTAATACATGTTTAGATACTGTAAACGATTCTTTTTTTTACAAAAAAGATGTTTTAAATAGAAAAAACCCTCACAAAAATATCTATTTTTGAGAGGTTCCGAATAGCAGGAGGTTCCAAACCCCTTCATTTACATAAGCACCCAGGTTTGTAATCAGTATCAGGCTATAGAATTTTCCTCTTCTTCTATCAGTTTCATTAATGTTGTGTGTGCATAAAAGTCACATCTCTGAAGTAAAGCTGTAACCATTTTTTGCTATGTGAAATCCAAGGATCACAACACTTTAGCCTGACAGCTTGAAGCGTATATATGTTTGAGGCCATATCATAGATCATCTTCCATTAGTTTGGAATGAGTGGGCAGGGCAATAGAACAAGACAGAAGGAAAGATTAATTAAAGCCATGCTTTGTAATTAAACTACCCACAGACTATTCTAGAAAGCAGACACAACTGAATTAAATCATATTATTAATGCAATTTTAAAGACAAAGTGATGGAAAGTTGCTTACGGAATGCCAGCGAAGCTTGTCTTTTTGATTACTTTTGAACTGAGATGTTTTTAAATGCTTTTCAAGATGTATAGGATAGGGTGGGTACAATGCAGCCCATTTTTCCCTTACTGTATTGTTTTTCTGTGGTTTTATGTTCTTGTTACAGTCCCTTCCATGGTGTTCCACAGAGCCCATCACGTTCTCTGTTTTACTCCCAACTTTCTGAACTGTCATAATGAATTTTTCTCTCACTGGATCTTCACTTTTTCCAGGTTGTATGAGAAGGGGATATCAATCTAATTGCAATGCAGAATTACCAAAAAGGTCAACCTGTTCCATTATCCTTTTGGCATGTAATTTATAAACCTCATTTTTTATGAAACAGACAATAAAATGAATGAAAATAACTTTACTACTTCTGCAAGGTATTAGTGCAATCCACTCAGTCCTGGGATAGCTTTATCCAGGTCTTTCACACTGATAAATTCCACAGCAGACATGAAGGCAGACATTAACCTGGGGAGAGGAACCTCATGCCTGAGGAGCCAAATTCAGCCTTCTAGTCTGACCCCTGGCTCACTCCTCCTCCTTCATAAAAATGTATACCACCCTATACCCATAGATCAGTTGAGGGATCTGGGTATGTTTAGCCCAGGAAAGAGGAGATCAAGATAGTCATCTTCACCTACCTAAAGGGCTATCACATGGAAGATGGAGCAAGCTTGATTTCCCCTGCACTGGAGGGTAAGACCCAAACCAATGGATTCAAATTACAAGAAAGGAGATTTGGACTAAACATCAGGAAAAACTTTCTGACAGTAAGAGCAGTTAGACAGTGGAATGGACTCCCCTGGAAGGTGGTGGATTCTCCTTTCTTAGAGGTTTCTGAGTAGCGGTTGGATGGCCGTCTGTCATGGATGCTTTAGTTGAGATTCCTGCATTACAGGGGCTTGACCTAGATGACCCTAGGCCTTCCCTTCCAGCTCTGTAATTTTATGATTCAAATGTAGTTGGCATGGAGATAGCCTGAGGTGAATATAAACATCACATTCTGATGGCATGAATGATGTCACAAACTGGACAAACTGCAAGACTTGGCAAAGTGAGAGTTAACAGTAGGACTGAGTCTGGACACTGTGAAGGCCGGTCTCCAAGACAGGTAATGATAATTATTGGTTTATAGGAGCTGTGAAAAGTTTATACTTTCTTGTAAAGGTCTTTTCTGACTAGATGTCAACAGTTTTCTAATGGACCATATGACTTCCTCTGCATTTTGGACAGCTTATGTATAAGATTGAGGCCTATCATATTGTGACTTTTCCACTATGGTATTGTGAAAGCAGCCAATACTTTTTCTGGTGTGGTTCGCACCCACCATCTCAGTACATAATATTCAGTATAGAAATGTTGCCAACACTGGGGTAATGTTGGTTTTGGTATGTTATTATATTGGGAGGAAAGTTAAAGAAATAGGTGGAGTTGAACACATGAGGATGGTTGAACCTTTCCACAGGTGTTGATAAATAGATTTATTACATTTCTTGAGTAGCCAAGCTGTTACTTACTTACAGAGGATTACTGGTCAATATAGTTGGCATGGAGACATGGAGAGTGCAAACATGACAGTCTGATGTCATGCATGATGTCACAAACAGGATAAGATTCAAGTCTTCACAAAGTGAGAGACAGTTAACAGTAAGGCCAGGGCTTTTTTTTTCAGCCAGAACTCACCAGAACTCAGTTCCGGCACCTCTCAAGTGGGTGCCATTGCCATTATAAGAGAACAAGGGAGAAGTTCATGGTGAGTCCCAGCACCTCGTTTTTTAGAAAAATAAGTAAGGCTGTGCCTGGATTCAGGCTAATTCAGATTGAGTTGCCAACTCTGTATGTTGAATCTTCTGTATGTGTGCCAATCAGAGATGATTCACAGAATCATTGCCTGAATCTGGTTTTGACATTTTCCTAGTGGACCCAAATGGCTCATATGCCTTTGTACAGAATCATACTGAGATCATTCTAAGCTGCGTACCTTTATCTCCAGACATATCCATGTTGCCTGTAAATGGTGTGTCAGAAAGAGACCTGATACGCCAAGGGCAACATTGCAATTTGTATCTGCTTACCTCAAATTCTTACCAGTTATGCATACCCGTGCAAGATGCCTGGATAATGCAATATGCCATTATCTCCTGCATAATCTGGTCATCCCAGGTGCATCCTGATTTAACCTTCTTGGAGCCCTGACAGAAAAGCTGAGACACAGCCACCACTAGAAGTCACATCAGCATGTTTTGCATGTTCAGACCCAGAGACCTCCCCCCTAAATAAACACACATTTGACTCAAATTCTAGTTTTGGGTTTTTGGCAGAATTTAGGCCACAACTTTATTGATTACAGAAAGTGAGTGGTTGCATAGGCTCTGGTTTGACTAGCTCCCTGCACCCTTGCAGGTAGCGCTGACCCAGAGCTCTATCATAGGTCAGCCGAGGGTGAACACCTGAGGTAGGTGGAAAGCCTGGGAACAGACTATGTCCACTCCCCAGATGCTCCCCTGGACTCAGGCATGGGCACAACCCCCTCTTGGGGGTTGACCAAACCAAGTTGAGTCCCTGGATTCCTTTAATGGAATACCCTTCACATAGGGATAGCGAGACAGTTCTCCCATCTCTATCACCTGAACCAGTGCCTATCCGCAACCTTACAAGTTGTGATGATTTGCTATGGGGCAGGTGAAACCCAAAGGGCAACAGCCAATCAGCCAAGTGGGGAAAATTCCTTCCGGTTCCCTGTCCCGACGACACACGACGACATAGCAAGGTCAAGCACAAAATGCTCTAAATATAGGGAGAGGTGGGTAGGTGTTCCGATGCACGAGCCAAAAGAGGAAGCTCTGGGCCATGTGCATAGGTATATATATGTCCCTTGGTCCGTTAGACAGCTCCCCATTGACCAGATTAAACCCAGCAATGAGGGACCTACCAATCGGGTGTTGTAGTTGTCCAATATACCCACCCACAACCAGGAGGTCAGTCTCCAGGTCTTACTGCAACACATGCCCTCTTTTAGGGAGGACACGCTTTAGCATAATTACTAGCAGGTGTGAGGTGCCTTGGGCTTAGAAGCTCTATGTGCCCTTCCAGGGCTCCCTATCTGGCTCTTGCCATTTTTCCCAGGCCACAACCCCTCTTCCCAGACCACACTCTTCCCAAGCCCTGGCATGCACTCTCCTTGAGTGTTTCTGCCAAATTCAAATGTGTCCTTGAACTCTGATTCCCTTGATGAAGGATAGAGAGGGGCATGTGTTTGTGGAACCTAGCCTACTGCACCAAGGTCAAAATTGCTTTGGTGGTCTTAGGCCTTCTCAGTGATTCTAGAGCTTACTTTCCACCTCATATTTGATGGTTCTTCTGTGCAATGCAAGGCAACCAATTCTTAATGCCTGGAAGGAAATTTTCCAACTTTCTGGAACAGATTGGAGGTCAGGATGAGGCTCTCAAGGAAGAGAGGGTCACTGAAAATTGCTGTCCTTCTTATGAATTCCCTTTTGTCAGTGGACAGTCACCACTGGATATCGACACAGAATTTATTTCACTGATAGCCAGGTGCTTCGAGTTTGTGTTTTTTTTCAAGGCCTCTTTCAGTATTAATTTGAATCTGCCCTCCTGCAGTTTTTGCAATTCCGGTGCGGGGGGGATCACATCATGTGCTACCCATGATTTCATGGTACGAGTGAACTTCTGAGACATTCTATGCTAGGAAAAGAAATCTTAAGAGTTGTTCTTCACATCATTCAAACCACCATTCAAATAGCCGTTCTCATACATTGGGGTGGGGAACCTTTTTAGCATAACGGCTGTGTTCTTGTCTGGAAAACTTTCCAGAGCTGGGTGGGGCTGGAGGCAAAAGTAGCCAGAGCAAATTTTTACTTATGTTCAGTGATCTACTTTCTACACATACACAAACACACCCCTTTCCTCCATACAGACAAACAAGAAGCATTATCAGAATTGACGAACACATTTCAGCTGGGGCATAAGCCAATGGAGGGGGGCGGGCAGCTGCCCCCCATCAAGTAAATAAATAAAAATACTTAAGAAAAGTAGAAATAATCAGAATATTTGAAATTGAAAATGCTCACATTTGAAGGCAGCCCTGTTTAGGGAAGTTTTTAATGTTGATGTTTTATCGTGTTGTTAATATGTTGGGAGCTCCGAGTAGCTGGCGAGGCCCGGCCAGATGGGCAGGGTATAATAATAAAAAATTTTATTTTTATTTTTATTTTTAATTTATATTTATATTTTATCACAAAGAGTATTAAAAGAGCTGAACGTAGCAGACCCAGTAAAAGAAGCAGAACTCTCTTGCCCTACCACAAAAAAGGCTCTGCTCATCTCTCTTACTCAGCTATTCACCACTTGTACCCTGGAGCAGTCATTCAGTACCTTGCAGAGAGTTAAGACCTGGCTAATGTCGACAATGACAGGAGCATCTCAATGGGCTATGCTTACTGAGTGTGCACAGGAAAACTGTATTGGGAGAAAATGGAGAAATTTGACTGCTGAAAAGGTTTTTAGCAAATCCAAGAAAACTTGTTTTAGTTTAGATTTAAAATAAAATGAGAAAAGGTGTGTCCTTTGTATTTTGCAAAATATGCTCATTAACCATAGGGGAGGCGGGTGGCACTGTGGGTTAAACCACAGAGCCTAGGGCTTTGCCTATCAGAAGGTCAGTGGTTTGAATCCCCACGATGGGGTGAGCTCCCATTGCTCAGTCCCAGTTCCTGCCAACCTAGCAGTTCGAAAGCACATCAAAGTGCAAGTAGATAAATAGGTATCGTTCCGGCAGGAAGGTAAACGGTGTTTCCGTACGCTGCTCTGGTTTGCCAGAAGCGGCTTAGTCATGCTGGCCACATTCGCCGGCTCCCTCAGCCAATAAAGTGAGATGAGCGCCGCAACCTCAGAGTCGTGCACGACTGGAGCTAATGGTCAGGTGTCCTGTTATGTATTAAGATTAAGTTGCAGTTCTCACTCAGGGCCACCAGTATGTAAATGAAGGATTGAAAACTGTCCCTTCTGATTGGTTAGCTAGTTGTGAGTTGTTACTGTTTCAAGTTACTTAGTATTATATAAAGCAGCCAGCTAGGCTGCAGTCAGTGTGATTCCAGGAGCAGTTCTAACTGCTACAATAAAGAGCTGTGAATCCAACAGAGCTGTGTCCTTCGTCCATCCTTTTCCACTATTCAACAGGTCCCTTTAAGTTTACCTTTACTCGTTAACCACACGAAAGGTACTCCCTGGTGTTATTATTTTTAACTCTCAAGTTTTCAAATGTCTGAAGGTTTTGACAGATTTATTCTGAGCACTTGGGGTCAAAAGAAAGTAATTTAAAACAATTGTCATTGAGACATTTCATTCCGAGCCTGCTTGACGGAGCCAGACACGATGATGGCAGGTGGGTGTCCTCAATCCTGGCTATGCCCATGGGCAAAAACACTCCAGGAAAGTGTGAAGCAGAGCAAGTAAGGTGTGGGGCTTGGGAGTAGGGGTGTGTGATATGGAAAGTGTCCTGAGGACCAGGCAGAGCAGATGGGAGGTTACAGTTGGTCTCTGGGCCTGAGGTTCCCTACCCCACCATACATTCTTAAAACTGGGGAGTCGTGCTATTGAATATAAGCACCGATTCTTCAAGAAGGTAACACACTACATTTGTATATGTGCCAACAAACACATATACATCAGCGTTCTCATATACACAACAATGTAGGTTTGTGGGTATACGAAACTGAGTAGGAAGCTAAGAAGCTTTCTCCGGTAACTCTGAGAACATGTCTTGTTAGTCTTCTTGATACCCATAATGTAAATCCAACAGTTCCCTCACCCTGCTTTTCTGGCCAAGCAGCAACCCCTGAGAACATGTTCTGTACGTCCACCATCATATAAAACAGCCACACACAATAACAATCCAATTGTTTTTCCTCTGAGGAGCCCTTAGGCAAGGCTATGTATCCCACAGTTTGCTTCAGTCTTCTGTTTGCTTTCAGTATGGTTCTGTTTCTAAGTACCCTCTTTGTTCCTGTCCTCTTGTTTTGATCTTCGTGTCCATTTCCCCACCACCTTCGGTTGTGCTGGAATTCAACTTTGACTTCAACATTTTTGTTTCCAGAAAATAGAGTTGGCCCTTGCCTTGGGGGTGTCATAAAAAGACAGCAAATTTTTAGCTGTTTGATTCATATTTATTGTGTTTTTTGTCCCAAGAAGAGATACTTGTGGGTAGGGCTTTTTTGTTTCAACTGGAACTCATTGGAACTAAGTTCTAGCACCTTTCAGGTGGCCACCATTGACATTATAAGAGAAAGCGTGTTCTCCTTCATGGAGAGCACGTGTTGCGGTGGGGGCTGACAAAACACTCCAAAGTTGTGGGGCGGGCTAGTTGATCATTTGCCACTGTTGTGATTGGGCTTCCCTTGTTGTTGGGAAGAAGTTAATGCTGCCATTTTGTGATTGACAGCCAGAAATGTTAAAACTCCCTGCACGAAGCGTAGAGCTTGCTCTTTTCGCTCCGTGCATCGGAGTGCCTGTCCCTCCCTCCTTATATTTAGGGTTGTTTGCATTGACCTTGCTATGCCTGTCATGGGGTCGTCTGCTCTTGGGGCAGGGGCCTGGTAGGAATTTTGTCCATCTGGCTGATTGGCTGAGGCCATTTGGTTTTTGCCTACTGCATAGCAAATCGTCACAACTTGTAAGGTTGTGGTTAGGCATTGATTTATGGTTTGGTTGGTTGAGGGGCATGGATTGGCTGTGCCTGCCCCTCTAATGCTGCTGCTGCAAGGGATTCCGTTAAAGGAATACAGGGGCTCACCATTGTTTTTGTCTGAACTCTGTCAAGGGACTAGGGCCACGCAACAGTCCCTGGTTGCATTTGGGGAGGGCTGAGAGCAGGTTCCCTGCTCTGTCGCTACCCCCAAGTGTATTCCCCTTTTCTGACTTTCGCAGGCATGTGAAATGTCAGTCTGTCCCCACTGGGGGGGCAGATAGTCACAACCAATGTGGGGGGGGCAGATAGTCACAACCAATGCCTAAGCAACCACTCACATTTTTGTATTTAATAAAGTTGTGGCCAAAAAATTATGCCAAAAAGCTTAAACAAAATTATGTGTGATGTGTGAGTTATTTGGGGTGGCTTGGGGACCTTGACACGCAACAAGGGAGGCGTTCATGGTGAGTTTCGACACCTCTTTTTCTAGAAAAATAGCACTGCTTGGAATCTCCATCTCAGTTACCAAAAAGATTGGTTAGCAGCCTTGTGTACAAAACAACTTGACTTCGTATGTTTGTGTGTCCTCTGCACCCAGTAGAGGCTGATCTATCAGGGCAAATGAGGCAACTGCTTTTCCAGCCTCAGTTTGCCCTCAGTCAGACCCCACTTGCTCATCTTCTTACTTACAACCAATCCAGGGTATGGCACTGCCTGCCAGATTCCTCTTCCTCCATCTCAGTGTTGCCCTTGTAGAATTTAGCAGGGAAGAGGATAGGAACAAAATCAGAATTAGTTGGTTCTGCCTGTCATTGGCTCTGGCTTCACCTACCTTTGGCACTCATTCTTTCCGCCCTGCTAGCAGTGTTAGAAACTCACACATATAAGTTAGGCGCCAAATGGCTCCTTAAACCAGGGTTGCAGGCAGCCAAATGCATTATAATCTATATATAAATCCAGGATCAGTGCATGAGGTCAGATTGTTTTAAAATGCAACCTGCACAATTTCCTTCTCCATTCCTAATCTTTACAATAAGAAATGTGGTTTTATTCAAATCCACCTAGATGTAACAGTGGGTACTTTGGTACACCGTAGCTTGGAAAGCCATTGAATTATTGTAGGATAAATCTTGCCCCCGACTTTTGCCACTGCAAAGTTTCATTTTAGAAAGGAAGCTAATCAAAACAGTGTTTCAGAGAATCCTTTTCAATTTATTTGAAGCCTAATCTTGACTAATGTACATCATGCTTCTTCCACTCTGTTTTTTTCCCTTTTTCTTTTCCAAAATAACTCCTTAGAGAGTTCTGGTTTTTGCATTAGAATCCTGAAAGCCAGCAGATCCATGCTGCTATCAATTTTCAGTCAGGTAATTGTAATTGTAATCTTCAAATGAAAAAGACAGTACTCTGGGCCTTATCGTCTTGGCAGTTGCTCCTTCCTTGCTATAAACTGGCATATCCAGTGTAGGATAGGGACGACCTGAAATAACCTTTCCTTTGTGCCACCTTGTTCAGAGTAAGCAATATGGACAATTTTGGAGGTGGGGAGCGAGGTGGGGATCTGACTTTCAGCACAGCTCTTCCAAGACACAGCTATCAGCTGCCATTTTATTTTCCATAATGCCCTTTGAAAGCCTACCTCATAGCATCGTTCCCAAGGAATTTATGGGAAATAAATATGTCCATTCTACCATTGCCATCACAAAACGGAGAGGTGTGCAGGTCGTTCTGAAACATCTCTTTCAGCCTGGGCTTGACGATTGACTCCTTCAACAACACAATACTATATCTCTACAAACTTAATGACCCCAGCCTTTCTCTCAATTGATCTGATCATAAAATGGCTGCTCTGTTTCATTTCTTTTGCTGCTATCTCTTATTTATTAAAAAGAAAGAAAAACAAGGTAGGCTAGATCTTTCTTCCACTATCTTCAATAGCTGTTTCATTGTAAACTTCATTGAGATTGGGTTTTGGCCCTATGCAGTTCTTTACATCTCGCCCCTCTCTTTCCTATCACTATTTTTAGAACCCAGTTCTGTGGTGGATAGGTTTTCAAGGCAGCATGTAATGTTGTTTAGCTTTGGAATGCAGTATCATTTCATGTATACTTAGTCCACACCTACACACACTTGAAAAGAGTAAGTAGAGAGCATGCCTTATCGAAAGCTTACTAATGAGGTCTTTTGATACAATACTCCAGATGTTCACATTTTGAAGTGGTTCAAAGAACTCATTAAGTCACACCAATTAGCAGAAAAATACAGCAAATGTGAGATAACTGAATGAAATAAACTGAATGTTTCCCCCCCTATATTAAGGATTGGTAGACATCCCCCCCCCCCGTTTACTAGCCCATCTGCAAGAAGAAGAAAAAGTAAATGGAAAATGTGAGCCCAGCAGTTGCAGCTTTCTTCAATAGGAGATAATTAAGGCTGCAATTCTACAATGGCTTACCTGTAGTAAGTCCCATTGGATTGCTGTATCTAATAGGGCCTATGCTCAAGACACATAATTATACACCTAACCTTGAATCACTATGTTGATGAATTCCGTTGGACTTACATGGTTACTGCTGCTGACACCCCAGGTTATTACTGCCCAAGCTGCTGCTGCTCAGAATCTGTTGTGTAGAAAACATGCTGGCTGCTGATGTCCAATATCTATCCCCCCCCCCCCCAGTTTTTCTCCTTTCCCACATCTCTCTGCTTTAAGAGGCAAATGTACTGTGCTGTGTTGCAGACACAGCTGATGATGAGCTGCAATGATGCTTCACTGCTTGGCCTACTGCCCGTCCTAAATCTCTGACCGAACCCTTTACTTTTTTGATCGCCAGATTGACAACATGCTTAAATATTTTGTATAAAATAGAAACATAACACAGCTAAACATTATTTTGATTGCCGTCTATTGACTGATGCCAGTTTTGTACCCTTGCCCAGATTGCACCCATATTGAGTGCTGCTGTTTGCTCCAAGTCAATCACACGGCTGTATTTCTGTTCCAGTTAGGGACATGGAAAAGCAATTTGCAATAGTCCTCTGTTTGGAAAATTAACAGAGACTCTTGCATTTCTTTTTCCTTGGATGCCTGGATTTATTTATTTTTAAGGAAACAGAATGTGCTGGATCCAGACTTAGAATAAATCAAGACAGTTTTTGCAGATTCCTCCTCCTCTGTGCAGCCCCCTTTGTCCCCAAAAGAGTGATTCTGGAGTACTAGGAGAGGACTGGCAAAGTGAGACTCAGTGAAGATTCTTCTAGCAGGGAGATTTTCTGGACCCCAATCTCTTCAGCAAAGGGAGTGAGTCCTTCTGTTTGAGGTGGGGCAAGTCCCCATCCAGATCCCATTGTAATCATCTACTTTCTGAACAGGGGTCATTGATGGTGTGGAGGTGGGTTAATAGAAAGAGTTACAGAATTCAAAATGTTCACGTATTTAACTTGGGGGAGAGCCATAGCTCAGTGGTATGAAGAAGGTCCTGCGTTCAGTCTTCAGCTTCTCCACATAAGATTGGGAGAGAAACCCTCTCTGAAACCCTGGACAGCTGCTACCAGTCAGTGTAGACAACACCCAGGGAGATGTGTGAAGGGTCTAACTTAGACTAAGGCAGCTAGGTCCTTCCAATAAGTTGCCATGGAGAAGAGTTGGCATCGCCGGAGCATTTAACTAATTCATTAATCCAGTTAGCTGCAAACCCTAATATACAGTTGCATGCATCTACATATAAACAGGTCTCCTGACTTAATTTTGCTGTGAAACATTGGAGGAGCATGCATTCTTGAATGGAATCCTGAAATGAAGCATTAATACAAAGGATGACAAAACACACAGGATATTCACCTTCAAAATGGAATTTGTAAGCAAATAATATGGAGTCACACATAGCAGTCATTCCATCAGGCTATAGCAGAGTGGGAGACATGACTACAATGTCCTTTCATGAGCTCAGCTGAGAGACCATGAACTTTTGGCTCCTTCTTTGCATGAATTTCCCTGCCATTGCAGTTGGCCATTACAATAATTCTGTACTAAAACAAGGGGTGAAATTTGTTTGTTTTTTTTCCTCCTCCTCCCCCCTCCTGATCACTTTACCTTTTGTGCTATGCTTTTTAGATTCTAAGCCTTTAAGTTGGGGCTGTCTTGTTAATAATGTTAACAGAATGCCCTGGGAGGACTTATTATTTTATTTTTATTTTGTTGAAGAGTGGGGCAAAAAATGCTTCAGCTAGCTAAATAAATTCGTCTGCCTTCTACAGCACAGTTTCATTTTGTCATAAAGCACCACAAAAATAACACACATTCCGTTTCCTGTTTCTCTACAAAAGGGACAAATAATTCAGTTTCGTTTCTTTCAGTGGCTGCTATGGCATTACGATCTACCTGAAGTGGCTGGATTAGGTCAAGAGTCTCAAAAGTAACAACAGCTTTGGAAAACTCTATTGCACATGAAAAAGGTATTGAGATGGCTAGAGAATCTCTGCTAGCTGAGGGTAGGCGAACAATGTTTTTAGCAGCATACAGCTCCTCTCATCTCACACTTGTAAGCTGCGAAGGTCTTGTGGAATCTCACAGCTATAGCTCCATCAAGAAAGTAGGTTTTTCTATTTGTGTATGGTTTGAAGTGCTGAAACACACACAAAAGCATGACTGACGCCCAGATCTGGGACTCACTGACATTGTTTCCTTCATATTTTCTACAAAGAATGCTTGCTTCTCATCTATTTTCATATCTTGACAGTTCCTAGAAAGGGTTCTGCTACTAAAAATATTCTGGTATCTTTACTCGGGGAAGGGAATGTCAGTTTGCATTTCTTAGTACAGAAAGTATTGATCTGATGTGTAGAGATCTTTCCAATTCTAATTACTGTATTTTTCGCTCTATAGGACCCGTGTCACCTCTCCAGCCGGGAGAGCGCGCGCGGGGCTAAAGAAGCCTCGCGACCCTCTCCCGGCTGGAGAGGTGACATGTGGCTATTGAGGCTCCTGCCATAGCCGCGCGTCACCTCTCCAGCCGGGAGAGCGCGCGCGGGGCTAAAGAAGCCTCGCGACCCTCTCCCGGCTGGAGAGGTGACGCACAGCTATGGCAGGAGCCTCTCCGCTGCACCTTTCCGCTGCTCCCTAACCTGCTCTTTGGGGCTGGTGGTGGGCTTCCCCCCATCAGCCCCAAAGAGCAGGTCGAAAGGAACCTGAAGCCTGGAGAGCGAGAGGGGTCAGTGCACACCGAACCCTCTCGCTCTCCAGGCTTCCAAGGTAGCCGCCTGAACGCACCTTAAACGGCACCTTGTTTTAGAGCGGGAAAACAAGAGGGGGAAAGTTCTCCCCCTCTCTGCACAGTGCCTCCTGCCACTTCGCTGAAGGGGCGCTGGGTAGAGAGGGGGAGAATTTTTTTTTCTTGTTCTCCCCCCTCTAAAACAAAGTGCGTCCTATTGTCCGGTGCGTCCTGTGGTGCGAAAAATACGGTAATTCAAGAGGGTTCTGGAAGCTTCTCTGTGTGAAAGAAACAAGCAGAAGGTTTGTAATGTTTGGGTTATTCCTTCTGAGAAGCTGAGTACAGCAGGTTTAAACTCGTTTGGTTTGGTTTCTCATTTTTCCACATCTGTTCGCATTTCCCCCCCTTTTAAATCTTCATGGAAATTTGCCAACATTATAGGGTGCATTTCTACTAATAGACACATCCAGTATAGTTTAATATACACATTTATTGCAAAAATACCCCTAATACTCATTTTCTTATGCTATTTTCAGGAATATATAAAATAATCATCATCTTCATCCTGTCTTTATTTCTCAGTTCATAGAGCATGAGACTCTTGATCTCATTCATGACCATTTAATAGTTTAATGGTGAATTTTTGACAAAATAGAGAGGTAATGTTATCATCATCATCATCATCATCATCATCATCATCATAAAAGATGCTGGAGGAAATGATTTACAATAGGACCCACAAAGCAGAGGAGGGAACAATAGTTGTAAGATGGACACGTGACTGTAAAATTTTAATTTGAAAAACCAAATAAATAAATTAAAAAGATAATAATAATCTCAGGTTCATCAGTTCAAGCCCCACGTTGGGCAAAAGATTCCTGCATTGCTGGGGGTTGGACCAGATGACTCCTGTGGTCTCCTCCAATTCTATAATTCTGATTCCCAAGTAATCCACTGGAATTAATGGGCCCGTTAGACACATCCATTTATTTCTGTGTGTCTATTCTGTATCAGACTAGCATTGAATACAACCTGCTGCTGAGATTTGGAAAAAAACACACAGGCCTTTTCTGCTGTGGTTCCCTGCTTGTGGAATGCTCTCCTCAGGGAGGCCTGCCTGCCAACATCATTTACTTATCCTTAGGCAACATGAAAAAACATTGATTTTTCCACAGGCATTTGGCTTTTAGTTATCTGTGGCCTCCTTGAGTGGGAGGGACTTTTTAATCCAGCTTTTTAAAGATAGAATTGTCTTTTAGAATTTTATTTGTTTTCTTTTATGTCGGTTTTATGTAAGTGTTTGTTTGTTTGTTTATACATGATAAGTCACTTTGAGTTACCCAGGTAAAGGAGCGACCCGTAAATCTAATAATAAATAAATAAGATCCAGCGCAGAAATTGGTGTAGGTCCATATAGCATTGTATAGTCAAAGTAGCCTTTGCTGGTCAACAGAATAAGTCTGTGCCTTGGAGTAGAGGACTAAGCTTGTTCTTCCTGGCATCCTGGTAATTCTGTGCTTTGCTGCTAGAATAATGTGGTACATGGCCCAAAGGTGAATATAACTTGAATGCTTGTATGAAAAGGAGGGCCTTGGGGATGCATTGATGGGGTTAGATTAAAAGTAAGCATTTTCAGTTTCAGAATTTGGCAAGATTTGGTTACGCTGGCAACCACACTGTAGGGACAAAGTGTAAATCATGCTTGAGAGTTCATCAGATTTTCAAACCTATCATAGTCATAAAGGCAGGAATTCCCACGATGGGGTTAGCTCCTGTCAACATAGCAGTTTGAAAGCATGCCAGTGCAAGTTGATAAATAATTACCGCTATGGTGGGAAGGTAAATGGCATTTCCGTGCACTCTGGCTTCCGTCACGGTGTCCCGTTGTGCCAGAAATGGTTTAGTCATGCTGGCCACATGTCCCACATGTCTGCGGACAAACGCCGGCTCCCTCGGCCTGAAAGCGAGATGAGCGCCACACCCCATAGTCGCCTTAGACTGGACTTAACCGTCCAGGGGTCCTTTACCTTTTTACCTTTTAAAAGCAGGAGACTCAAGAGGTTTTCTTTCCCTAGAAAAATTGGGAAGATGAGAGTCTTGATTCTGATCTTTATCTTGAATGACAGGTTACCCTGTCTTACAATTTGCATGCAGCAATGCATGAAGAGTGTTTTGTAGTGCTAGATTAGTTTTTCTTTTTAACGGCTCATTTTAAAGGGTGTTCATTGTGTCATTGTGTAAGGGTGTTCAGCTACGGTGTTCTGATCAAGACAATAACATGGAAATCACCCGGAAAGGAATTTTCACAGGATCTACTCTCATCATACAAAAGCACCATAGGGCTTTGGAGCAAAGGGTCTCAGACCTTCTTTGACTTTGCCCACACCTCTTATTTCCAGCTTGTGATCACTGATTCTCTTTGGAAATAGTCCTTTGATTTGTTCATTTCTATTTTTGAAATTCTACTAGTGGAATATATGTGCATTCCATTTTGAAGTGTCAGTATTAGTCCTTCTTTAGGAAAAAAGGTAGGATACTGTTTAGTTTCAGCCTAGATTGTTCATTCACATTACTGTATTGGCTCAAATATAAGCCACACACACCCCAATTCTGACCATGAAAAATTAAAGTGCTGCTTAAATTCTCTACCTTACAAAAATTGGCTTTTATGATATCGCTGCTGAAACAGACATACCGTAAAACTGAACAAGTGTGAATGCCTGCAGAATTTTAAGGGAGTGACTTATATTCGGGTATTGTCTTTTGTTCTCTCTCCCCCCCCCCCCCGAATTTTAAAGGTGCAGTTTATATTTGGGTGCAGCTTATATTCAGGCCAATAAGGTATTGGGGGGGTAGTTATATAGTGGCGAATGAGAGTCATCATAATTTGTGGAAGTACTATTTTATTGAGAGAACAGAACCTTTTAAAATTCAGTTTCTCTTTTTTTGCAGCTTCAGAAACAAAATAAAACCACAGTTCTGCATATTGTTACTGTGTGTGTAGAATGTTATGGACTATGATGGAATCATGATTGTGTAGGGTTAATGTTTGGTGTAAGGGGCCATTTAGGTTCATTTAGGAGTGAGTTAATCTTGATAACCCCCCTCTCTGGACCCAGATGATGGTTTGGTTGCTACACAACTGCTATGGCTCCACGGGCTCTTCCACCCAGCTGCAGTCCTATGGTTTCATTTGTGTCTGGGTCCAATTTGCTGAATCAGTTGGCATCATCCTTTCTTCCTCTTTTTCTGGAGTTGGCACCAGACTGGGGAAGGGTGATCAAGAGACTGATTGAACAGTAGACATTGTGCTTTTTCCTTTCTTGCTGCATAGTGGTATTCGGAGTTGAGGTTTTTATGTTCATTTATTGCCATGTACAGGTAGACTTATTGAGACAATTGCTTTAGGGCTGTAGTAATCTCTCTCTCTCTCTCTCTCTCTCTCTCTCTCACACACACACACACACACACACGGAGGGGGGTGTTCCCCCAGTTTCTTTGTTTTCAGAAGATAAGGAGTACTTCTCAACACATTTATAACAATACATATTTGGAATCAACATCAGGCATGAATTACCTCTGTGCTGGGTGTCTTCTCATATATATCTAAATGTATATCTATCTCTGGGTGGATTTACATGGGGGGGAGGGACCACACGCTGTAAATCTGAAATTAGATTGTTATAACAGAAGAAGAAAAAACCCTATGGAAATTCATGTAGAAAAACTTTCTGCTCTCTGGTGGCATCTGGTGTTGTATATTCATAACACATTCAAATTGTTGTTTCTGAGTCCTCTATCTATCTCTCTCTCTCTATATACCTATCTACCTACCTATCTGCCTGGTTTGTTTTATTAGAGAGGACAGCTTTTGTTTGTTTTCTGCTCCAAATAAAATTATAGGATCAAACCAGAAATAAACTCCAGTTTCTTCCCACCTTTTAAAGGGGAAAGGAGTCCCTTTGAACATAAGAAGACATGTGCTAAATCAGACCAAAGATCCATCTAGTTCATTTTCTTTCCCATAGTGATGCATACAGAAAGCCAATACACAGAGGTTTAAGCTGCTGCTGCTTTATCCCACAGGCTATTCTGAGGTAGTCTGTCTCTCAATCTGGATGTCCCATATAAGATTTTTATGCATTTAATTCTTCTTGTTTAAAAAGAAGTGTGCTTGTTTATCTGCACTTAATAATATAGAGGAGAGCCCATAGATCTGTAAGAGAGCATGTTTCACATACAGATGTCTAGAAGTTAAATTCTCAGATTCCCTGGAAGTAAGGCTGTTTAAAAAAAACAACTACTATGGATTTGAGACCTTGGACAGTGAGTTGTAGACTAGAGAGTTGTAGACTAGAAAGAGTCCAGTTCTTACAGGATTAAGGCAGCAGCTATACCGCATTGCTTAAATTCCTAACAACTTTGCAATTTAGCTCAACCTACTGCGCCCCCTGGATCCATCTACTGTTAATTCCATTTACTGTGACTCCACTTTTTACTGTTGCCACCTGTTATACTTTCTGCCCTGCTGATATAAATGGGTGCCAGCAGCCTCCTTGTTTAGTAACAAAAGGTTTATCTTTTTAAAAACAAAACAAAAAAACCCAAGGAAACCTGTTGCCCTGTTTGAATTAAATTGAATTGAATTGGAAAAAACAACAACCAAAAACCCCCCCCACTGTATCCAAGGCACAGCTTGAGTCAAATGAACGCTTTAGTTGGAGCCAAAATGACAAAAGACCAGTGACTGGGCTGTCTGTTGCCATATTTGTGCTTTTATTTAAAATCTTCATAATGACAATAATTGCTGGTGCATTTATAAAAGCAGCGTCTGAGTGCTTTCTGATTATGTGGGATGCTTGTAGATATGAATAAGGTTGATGGACATGCTGTTCTTTAACATTTTATTCTCCTCTTCCCATGTATTTGTCATATTTGTGAAATACAGTGGTACCTTGGGTTAAGAACTTAATTCATTCTGGAGGTCCGTTCTTAACCTGAAACTGTTCTTAACCTGAGGTAACACTTTAGCTGCCGCACAATTTCTGTTCTCATCCTGAAGCAAAGTTCTTAACCCGAGGTATATTTCTGGGTTAGCAGAGTTTGTAACCTGAAGTGTCTGTAACCTGAAGCGTCTGTAACCTGGGGTACCACTGTAATGCCAGAGGCAATCCAATGGCAGGATCCGCTGGGAGGATGCAGTGAACCTCTGGCTCAGCCAGAGATGCAGTGGAGAAACTTGCTCATCCCAGCTCAGTGTAGCAGGCCGGTGTAGGTCCCGAAAAAGAGATGTTCCTGGTGGTAACAGGACCAGATAGTGGGGGACAAAGAGGATGGATCCTAAGTCCATTCAGCTCAATTGCATGACATGGCAACATGACACAGAACAATATTTTAAGGAAGTTTTCCCTCTTCCAGGCATGTGTTTAATGTAGGAGAGGCCGAGCTGGTGTAAACAGAAACTGAGCAGGAAAAGCCAACAGTCTCTCCTACATTGTGAATTTCTTAGGGGTGTATTTCTTATAGGCACCCACATTGGTGACCCATGACATGTAACACATGCAGTATCAAAAACATGGCCTACTCAGCCGGACAGGCAGTGATTGGGTGCAACACATGATGCCCTCACTTTATGACTTACAGTCCTCTTTCATCCAGGTGTTTGCTTGTGGGAGAAATCTAGGGCTTGGGGGTAGGGAGCTATGGTACATGAAAAACAAATGCGATGAATAAAGTAATAATTATACTGAACCAACAAAGGCAATGCAGATGAGGCCTATTGTGAAGTGCTTATTGAAAGCAGGCTCCTAGCAGCCTCTGTCTCCTTCTGCCTTCTCTCTCTCTCTCTCTCTCTCTCTGTCTGTCTCTCCAATGAACAAGGAGCCATGTGAAATGGCTCCCAGTTGTAAGAAAAACCAAGTGAACTGAATCTCTTTATTTTACTGCCAACAGACTTGTGCGCTGTAACTTCTGAAACGGCACTTAATCCATAAAACTAAGTTCCTGTGATTTATTCTAGCCAAATATTTTCATGAGGAACAGTTGTTTAAATGTAGATGAGGGCAGGTGTAACTCTAACCAAATTTTAATGTGCTTGGAACAATTGTCATTGTGCTAACTCAGTTATGAGAGAGAAAAGAATTTCTCTTTCAAACCTTTCTCTCCAACAATTCATTCACACAAAATGAAGGTGTGAGAGCCAAACCTGGTAGAAAGATCATAACTTTGTTGACCAACAAAACTGAGGATTTGCAAAAATAGCCTTAACAAGCTTGCAGGAAGAACCACTTTGACCCTTATACAGTAGCCAGATCACTGCCTAATGTACACATTTACATTTTTCATATGCATTTTGTATTCATTATTCCCCTAAAATGTGCAGATATTTTTAAAACTCAAATTGCATAGCAAAATACAGAGACATACTTACATAGATAACTGGGTATCTTCTGATCCACATGTAAGTCTAGTGCCAACTGAATCTTGTTCGTTTAACTTTTAAATGCCTACCACACAAATTTCTACGTCATCCTAATACAGATACAATGTTCCCTTCTCATCTGGGAACCCTCCACAGGCTCAGACACTTTCCCTCTCATCCATTATTTTAACTCCTTCCCACTTGTTGATACTCAAAGCTTGATCAGTTGTTTATTGTCTCTCGTTCCCTCTCCTCTTTCAGTGCCCCTACCCCTTCTCAACTGAATATGTGATGAACTTTCCCTGTGCCCCCTCCCCATACCCAAAATCTTCTGTGGAGGGTTGCCCAACCATCTAGAGCTGATTTTGAGGGCATACACAGTTCTGGAGGGGAGATGAGATGAGGGGAAAGTTCCATTCCACTAGCATATGTCATAAGAGTTAGCATTCAACAACATTTGATGCCACCATTTCCCATTGCCTATGTTGAAGATTCAGGTCTACACTGAATCTTTTATGTTTCATTCCATTAAATTCCTGATGCATCATCATATTTTTTCTCCATCAGTTGAAGCTCCCCCAAAAGTTGTCTGTATTCCATACTGGAGCATACCTTCAGAAGAAAAGAAAAAGAAAAAGAAGCACCCCAAAACACTTTCTACAGTGGTACCTTGGTTCCTGAATGACTTAGTTGTCGAACAAATCAGCTCTCAAACACTGCAAACCTGGAAGTGTTCCAGTTTGTGAATGTTTTTCGGAAGCCAAACATCTGCTGCTTACGCAGCTTCCGATTGAGTGCAGGAAGCTCCTGCAGCCAATCAGAAGCTGCGTCTTGGTTTTCGAATGGTTTCAGGAGTCGAACGGACTCCCAGAATGGATTAAGTTCGAGAACCAAGGTACCACTGTATATAAATTTATTTGCTGGTGCATCAAAATTTCAGATGGTTCTTCATAAAGTCTGCTGTGCTGAAATCTGTGTCGCTGGCCTACTGTTTATTCCCTCTCCACATGCACATGCACTTTACTAAGGTGGCAAAAAACAAAAGAAAAAAACCCCAGCCTGGATTACAGAAATGCTAATTACCTCTGTATAATTGGAATGACTGATTGTATCTGCATCGCTTCAAAGCTTGCCGGCTTCTTAGAAGAAAATAATAAGACAGTGTATTCTGGCAGTGATTGTTTCAAAATGGTGCAGGCTGTTTAGAGTGGCAATTGCTGTGCCTTTAAGACTGGAATTACTGGAGGTTAAATTGTATCTTAAAATGCTGACAATTAAATGGAAAACTTTTATAGCTGGCAATGAAAAATTACATGGAATTATTCAAGGAGCTTTAAAAAAAAAGATAACTTAAAAAAAATGCCTAGGAGAAGATCTATTTGAAATTTTGCCATTTTCTACATCCTCCTAGGACCTTTTTTTTTTTTTTTTTACCTCTCTCTGTAATCAATGAGAGGATTTTCATATACTTAGGCAGGTTTAAAATCAGGCCTCTGAAATGTTTCTATGGTGACTGAGTAATGTTGCACTGGGAATCGAAGTTGGATTATCGTTTTAGGCAAGTAATAGAAGAAGTGACCCATTCACTTTGAGGGTCCATTTAACCTAAAAGTCAATTAAAAACACATAGGGTTTTTTTAAAAAGGAAGAAAAGGAAGCCATTATAGGCAGCCCACATACCTGTTCTTTAAATGCCTTTCTGAAAGTCTTTTTTAAAAAACAAAACAAAACTCGATTTTATTTTATTGCACCTCAACGTTTTGTTTTCCTTAAATCCAACGGCAAATCTAGTCACAAATCTTACCAAACTTATGGAGCATTTCGCCAACAGCAAGCCAAGACTCCTAATATGATGGCCAGTGTCAGCCAGAAGCAAAAGGCAGCTACAGGAGTATTAAGGGGACTTTATGGGCAGGATCCTACCAGGGATGTGTTGAAGAGCACTGAGAAATTCCTTGAGCTTCAGCAAAACACTTTTAGCTTCTCTCATAATTTCTTGATTTGCTTGAGAAGATTCGCCTCCCAAAGTTCGCTACCTGTGGGAAACTAATGACTGCTCTTTTTCGAAATTCTAAGAGCTATAAAACACCTTGGGCCTGATGAAATTTGACCTTAGCACTTCTCAGAAACTGCTATAGGCTGCCAACTTTATAAATTAGGAGGTTTGAGATATCAGAATAGACACATGTGTCTCATGTTGTCATGACACTGAAGCACTAAAGTTTCCCAAAATTAATTCAGTGCATGATGTTTTGTTTCATAATTACCATTCGCAGAATGTGTCCTTCTGATTCCGCTTAGCTCTCCATCTTCCTCATTCAATTCTTTCTCATTCCCTAAGGTGTCGCACACATCTGTGCAACTTTCTACGGTCTCCCCTAGCTTTCTCCTGCCAACACCTTGAGAAAGTGTTTTTGTGAGCTGAGTTTTGTTTTTTCTCTCTCTCTCTCCTCGTGATTTGAAAGGTCAATACAGAAATGTCTGCAGCTGTGAAGCATGGGAAGATGGAAGCCATATGAAACAAGAGTTCTTCTGAAATTGACTGACAGGCCTTGTGGATAATGATCCACATCCCACAGTGCTAATGGTTGTGTTCCTTTGGTTTAAAGCAAAGCCAAAGAAAACAGGCCCAGTATTGTAATGTATGAGTTCATTTAGGTCACACGGCAAGAGCAGAAAGATCAAGGGCTCCTTTGCAGCCTTTATAACTTAGGTGAACAAAATGATGATTGAATAGACCTGTGCTTTTATTTTTCCGCCACATATTCCAATATGTGAAAAAAGGACTTGCACAGCTCCCCTGCGACCCCATGACATGTAGAGAAACCCAGTGCATCTTTTAAGTGGTCAGGAGGTAGGCTTCAGTTAGGCATGCCAGGCAATTCTGTTGAAAACAAAAAACATAGGTGAACATTTCTGATGTATACTTACTCATTTCTTGTTCAGAATGGAAATCAATCCAACAAACACAATTGGTATTCACTGTTGTTGTCACCTTCAGTCTGCAAATAGTATGTAATTGATTTTGTTTCTTACGTCATCCTATTTGAGATCTGTTTCCTTTGCCCCACCGAGGGCAGCAAAAAAACAATGTTTATTGATGAAGGATGAACTGCAGCAGAATGGAAAAGGTAAAAAGGTAAAGGGACCCCTGACCATTAGGTCCAGTCGTGGCTGACTCTGAGGTTGTGGCACTTATCTCACTTTATTGTCTGAGGGAGCCGGCGTACAGCTTCCGGGTCATGTGGCCAGCATGACTAAACCGCTTCTGGTGAACCAGAGCAGCGCACGGAAACGCCGTTTACCTTCCCGCCAGAGCGGTACCTATTTATCTACCTGCACTTTGACGTGCCTTTGAACTGCTAGGTTGGCAGGAGAGCAGAACGGAAACAGTGCTGCTAATTTCAACATAGTCACTTACAGTTCCCCATACAGTGATACCTCGGGTTACGGACGCTTCAGGTTACAGATTCCGCTAACCCAGAAATAGTACCTTGGGTTAATAACTTTGCTTCAGGATGAGAAGAGTAATCGCACGACAGAGGCACAGCAGCATCGGGAGGCCCCATTAGCTAAAGTGGTACTTCAGGCTAAGAACAGTTTCAGGTTAAGAACGGACCTTCAGAACGAATTAAGTTCTTAACCCGAGGTACCACTGTACTTAGCTGGAGCACAATGAATGGTGCAAAATAAACAAATCCTTCTGCTTGTTTTCATCATATAATCAGATCTTAGCTAAACTTTTGCAACAAATTCCAATTAGGCAAATTTGCTTCAGGGTCCCACCTCCCCAGTTCATTTATAAGGCAAAGGGACCCCTGACCATAAGGTCCAGTCATGGCCGACTCTGGGGTTGCGGCGCTCATCTCGCTTTACTGGCTGAGGGAGCCGGCGTACAGCTTCTGGGTCATGTGGCCAGCATGACTCAGCCTCTTCTGGCGAACCAGAGCAGCACACGGAAACGCCATTTACCTTCCCACCAGAACGGTACCTATTTATCTACTTGCACTTTGACGTGCTTTCGAACTGCTAGGTTGGCAAGTTTATCTCCTCCGACTTTAAAAGTGCAAGCCTTTGGCTGTCCACTCAGAAGTTAAGTTCCACTGAGTCAATAGAAACTAGAAGTGTAGTCAAAAACATGTTTACTGAGAAGTAAATTGTGTTGAATTCATTAGGACTTAGAACAAGTGGGTTGGGATTGGCACTTGAGGCTGCATTCCTACATGCACTTACTAGGGAGTAAATTCTCTTGAGTGCAGTGAAAGCTTCATTTAACAAGCATGTATATTATTGCATTGTTGCTTTCTGGTAAGTATAGGATTGCAGCCTATAACTAGTTTTGAATATGGTTAGATAAATCTTGCCCCTGAATGGTAAGGAGTTCATTTTGGTAACCAAGTGAAATATAAGGCAGGATTCCTGCATCTTTATTACTTGTGTAGAAGAGGGAAGTTCAGCAGAAGTCTATATTTGTGAAGTAGTCCTCATAAATTCCTTTTAAAATGTTGTTTAAATTGATTAATACAGCTACAGGAGTGTGTGTGTGCTGCAAATGACAAAGGAAAGTGCATATGGTCAAAGATTGTCATGGAATTTATCATTCCAAAATGTTGCCCCATAGTCCATTTTTGTATGAATTTGTTCTGTGTTGTCCTTCCTTCTCAAATTTGGAGATGATATCATAGTTTCAATGAAGTCACAGTGACCCAGATTCTACAAAATCAATCTGACTAAGGCAGGGAAATAGATGTCCTCTAGTAAGAAGTAATAGGCATCATTCTCACTGTTATTAACCAATGCTGTGTCCCACATTTTTTGGCCCATGCTCCATCAATTTGTAAGAAAAATTTTTTTATTCAAAACATCTCAAAAGGGAGAGAAAATTTGTCAAATTTCCTTGGGTGGGGTGCAATGTTTCTGTTGTGCTTTCCTAACTTTCAAGATAGCCCAGGGACATTTGTGTGAATGCTTTCTTTAATTCTACAACAACAACAGCAGCAGCAGCAGCAGCAAAACTTCCCAAAAAACATCACACAAAAACGCCTCTCTTTTGGCCTACACTCTGCAGCCTTCCCAGGTACCGTTACTTCCTGTAAATGCTATGACATCTAGAACTGGGTTTTCCTATAAACATAGGAAGCTGGGGAGGCTGTCTATTGTGTAACTAACACCACATATATTAAGTCTTTGTATTTTTACAAGAAATCCATGTGGAAGGAAAGCCAAGCATTTTTCTTTTAAAAATAAAATCAGGAAGGGAACCAATATCAGATGTCCTGTAGTCAACCTCCCCAGCTTCCATTAAAATCAAGTGGAGACATATTGAGGCAATTTTCCCTCATGTTGCTTTTTCAAATCAGGAAATGTGGGCAGACAGAGAGGTTGGATAGCATTGGAGAAATGCTTGATGACACACCTACCCACCCATACCACAGTTATAACACAATGATAAAGTAAGGTGAATCCCACATACTCCAGAAATGCTAATGAAATTCTAAAGCACCTGAGAGAGAGATGGAAAAAATGAAAGCCTCTTCCACAGTACAGTTGTACCTTGGAAGTTGAACAGAATCCATTCCAGAAGTCTGTTCGACTTACAAAATGTCTGAAAACTGAATCACGGCTTCTGACTGGCTACAGGAAGCTTCTGCAGCCAATCAGAAGCCGCGGAAGCCCCATTAGACGTTCGGGTTCTGCAAACCAGAACAATCACTTCTGGGTTTGAGGTTTTTGGGAGCCAAAACGTCTGAGTTCCGCATTGGGATCCACAATATGACTGTTGAAGCAAATCTCTGAGAAATTGGAGGATAGCACTACTTAAACAAACTGGATACAGGGGAAAGTGTTCTTGTCTTCACATCCTGCTTGTGGACTTCTCATAGGCACCTGATAGGTCACCACAACATCTAGAGGGCTGGAGATTCGAAGATCCTGACCTAGGAACAGTCTGTGCTAACCTCATCTTGTGTTCTTATGCCATTTTTAACCCAACCTTCATAATCTGATCCCACACTGGGTTACAAGATCATTTAAAATAATTTAAAACAAACAAGAATCCAGACAAAATAAGAACAGGTTATGTTTTGGAGTCTGTGGGCAGGTGGAAGGGAACCATAAAACATTGTTCTGTCATTGTGGTGTCCAGTAGGCTAGAATGTACTAAAAATCAGGATGCATCCTTTGGGCCGTGAAAACAATCCAAACTATATTGCCATTTTTTCAACACAGTCTTTCAAAAACCATTCCACTCCTCCTACTGCAACGTAGGCTGCCATTTCATATCACAGTGAACAAAAATAATGCTAATAGAGATTGCTGTATCCAATATGGCAGCACAAAATCATTCATGATTTTAAGGTGCTAAATTCTGATCCTGAAAGTAGACGTTCATGAAAGATGAAAGACTCCAGGTAGAGGAAAAGGTTACAATGCAGGCCAAGAGATAGCCGCAAATAGAGGGAAAGGTGTTGGAAGACTCATTTAAAACTGTTGGGAATTTGAGGTGAGTACCCACGCAGTGGCAGTTGTCCCTAGTTCCACTCACCACACAGAAGCAGCTTAAGATACAAAACAGATTACTGCTGTAGAAGCTAAGGCTTCAGTAATACAGTTCCAGATGTTGATATATGTACAGCTTGTAGGCTTTGCAGACACAGATACATACAAGCACAAAGGATCTGTTGTTCCAACTTCAAGGCATAACACAGACTCCGACTCACAGACAGGCTCACTGACTGACGTGCCTTAATCACTTACGCATATAGTCATACCTTGGTTGTCGAGCGGAATCCGTTCCAGAAGTCTGTTTGGCTTCCGAAAACATTTGACAACCAAGGCGCTGCTTCTGGTGACAGCAGGAGCTTCCTGCACTCAACCGGAGTCCGTGGAAGCCCCATCAGACATTCAGCTTCCAAAGAACGTTCGCAAACCAGAACACTCACTTCTGTGTTTGCGGTGTTTGGGAGCCCAAACATTCGAGTCGCAAGGCATTCAAGATCCAAGGTATGACTGTATAGCCATCACTGGGCTATTGCCACAGCAACTGGCTTGGCTGATGATGTACCTCTTGGCTTGTATAATATATGGAGTAATTTGTGCACATGAAGGAAATTACCCCCTTCCTCCATGTCCAGTTCCTTCAACAAAAACTTCTTTTCCTATCACTGACTGTATTACTTGAGAATTCAACATATTTTTAGAGTGATTTAGGTTGCTTTATTCCTCAAAATATTTTTTATGTTAATCTTGGCATGACATTGTTGTGTGGCTTCTTCTTTTTTTAAAAAAAAGAATCACTATTGTACCATTGTACTCTTTAAAAAGGATACATTTTCATTCCCACACTTTGAGAGAAATCTTTTTATTCTGAATAATAAATTGAGGGAATCAATTACTTCTGAATGCATAAGAACATAATTTTGCCTTTACAGATAATGAACTGAATAGAGATGAAACTGAAAACGAATCCATTACTAATAATGAAGATGAGAATGCAGCAGAACTATGTACCTCCTTTTGTGGCGAGGCATTGTATAAATCATGGGTTAGAAAAATGGAGAATCAAGGACACTGAACAGAAATGTATGCCTCTGTTGTAATATATGAAGGGAGGATTTGAGAGCTGACATTGTTAATATTACTTATGTAGCTGTAAAAGAAATTAAACAGCCCACTCTCCACTGAAGGACCTTGACGCAAGTAACAAATTGTGAATTGCTGCATTCAAAACACTGCAAAAGCATCCATTAAATTATGTTGGCACATGTACGCTTCCTATTAAAATGTCAATAGAAAAATAGGCTTAATGGTACTGCACTGTAGAGAATATTCAAGTCTATAATCCAGGCAAAATATTTTCAGAGTGTTTTTGTTATTTCTCGAGTTTCTAACTCCCTCTAGCTAAGGGCCTTTTGAATCATTACTCCACACACATTTGTTACTTCCATGTGTGATGGGAATGAAAGTAGGTTTCAGGCTCATTTGCTTTCCCTTGCTTGGAGATCAAGAACCTGACCACCCACCAGATGTTGATAGGCTACAACTCCCATCCTGGCTATTGGCCATTTTGTCTGGGGTTGATGAAAGTTCTAATCCAACATCTGGAGGGCCACAATTTTCCCATCCTTGGCTTTGTTCTTCCTCTGCCTGTCCTTCACTCCACTTACCAATGTAGCTTCCTTCTTCTTCTTTGGCAATCACTCATAGCCAAGTAAGATTGTCTTCCATAAACATGGTTTTAACAGTGAGTCCGTAAGTGACTGTGGAGGCCAGTTTTGGATCTACACATCTTTCCACAATGGGAATTTATGTTTCCGGGTGGGAGTTGATCACTGTGAGGGGTAGCCAAGCGTGCCTTTCTCTTAGCATGTTTCTCCCTTTCATCCTGAGTTCGAGCGTCTTCAAAGCCCATGACAACATTTGGAGCGCTTGCAGGCCAGTGTTTCCCAGTTGTTGGTGTTTATACTACATTTTTTTAGATTTGCCTTAAGAGAGTCTTTAAACCTCTTTTGTTGAGCACCAGCATTACACTTTCCATTTTAAAGTTCAGAGTAGTTGCTTTGGAAGACAATAATCAGGCATCCGAACAACATGACCAGTCTAGTGAAGTTGATGTTGAAGAATCATTGCCTTCACAGTGGTGATCTTTGCTTCTTCCAGTACACTGATATTAGTTTGCCTGCCTTCCCAAATGATGTGTAAATTTTTTGGGGGGACACTGTTGATGGAATCTTTTGAGGAGTTGGAGATGGCGTTTATAAGTGGCAATGTAGCACCTCAACACTGGCTCTCCTTATCCCTGGATAGGGGGGTTTGGCCACTATTATTCAGGCACTTATAACTTCCCAAGTCAATTACTGTATTGCAATTTACTCTGTGTGGGACTGGTGATGATGATTTGAGAACTGCCACTGGTGCAAAATGCACCAAATCAAATTGTAGGGAATGTTTTGATACCCTATTGGTTCAACTGTGCTTCATTGCCTACAGTGGTACCTCGGGTTACAAACTTAATTCGTTCTGGAGGTCCGTTCTTAGTGTGGTGTAGTGGTTAAGAGCTCGTAATCTGGTGAACCAGGTTTGCGTCTCTGCTCCTCCACATGCAGCTGCTGAGTGACCTTGGGCTAGTCACACTTCTTTGAAGTCTCTCAGCCCCACTCACCTCACAGAGTGTTTGTTGTGGGGGAGGAAGGGAAAGGAGAATGTGAGCCACTTTGAGACTCCTTCGGGTAGTGATAAAGTGGGATATCAAATCCAAACTCTTCTTCTTCTTCTTCTGAGGTACCACTTTAGCTAATGGGGCTTCCCACTGTCACTGCACAATTTCTGTTCTCATCCTGGGGCAAAGGTCTTAACCTGAGGTACTACTTCTGGGTTAGTGGAGTCTGTAACCCGAAGTGTTTGTAACCCGAGGTGTTTGTAACCTGAGGTACCACTGTATTTGCTTATGGGCTCAATTCAAGATGTTGGTCCTCACCACCTTTAAAACTTTCAGTTGCTTGGGCTCACCTATCTAAAAGAGTGTCTGATCATACAGGAATCAGTTCATGCATTGTGATTGGTGGGAGGCATCCTGTTCCACCTTGCACTTGGGATCCTTTTGGCTTTGTGGCGGTCACTGAAAACTTTGAAACTTTGCTGATCCAATATACTGCAGCTTGTTTAGGACAGACTGAGGCCAGACACACAGAACATATCTCACCTGTCAGGGAACTGCCATCAGTACTGGAGGGGGAGCGCAAAAGCCAGAGGGATTCCAGAGAGCATCCAGGGATCGGGAGGAGCAGCCCTTCTTCTGGGGAAGAGAATCAGCATAGCACCAGTGGAGAAGGGGGGCAGGTGGGGGAAGTGGCGAGGCGGTCCCATGACTCCTTGCCTGGGACCAGTGGGGAGAGTAGGGGTCCTCCGTTGCCCATGCCCTCCCTGCGCAGATGGCTTTCGCGCAGAGAGGGTAGGCAGAGACTAGGTGTCAAAGAACTTCTTTGCTGGAAGAAGTTTAAGAAACGCCCACTCACGGATTCTGCCAGCGATTGAGTCAGCCACGGGTGAGTGGCTGTCCGGACAGAAGAGGTTCACTTTGGCAGCCCAGCCAGGTGTTTGCACCCAGCCAGGGAGATAGGCACCTGCTTACGCACGAGCAACCCCTTAGAACCATTACATCACCCATCTGCACTGACACCTCCTTTACTTCTGAGTGAGGATGGATCTGTCCCTTTTGGTTCTCTCAGGGTTGAGCCAGGTGCTGACCTAAAATAGAGCAGGACTCTTCATATCACAATCAGATGAGCTGAACCACATCCTGAAGGGACTTTGAAGAGCAATACTGGGACTCCTAGACATACCCCACTATAGTATTTGTAGACAAAAACAGTATCCTTCGTTCAGTCCATGATGGTTTCTCAGCAGATATTTGCTTATTAGCTAAAATGCAAAGGAATGCCAGAGCATTGTCTTATAAAATTATGCTGTTTGGAACAAAGTTAGCTTTCAGTCTATTGAGAGCGAAATCTTGGCATCAAAACAGATGCTTACTTCAGAAATTTGGCTATTTGTAGACCAACATTTTTCAGAGACCTTGTTATAGCCAAGAAGGAGTTCACATTATGTACAGTTGTTTATGTAGGAAGATTTTGCATCTCTTAAGTCTGTAAAGATACCACCTTGGTGTAATTTACTTAAACATAATCCAGGCCCAGTGGACTACTCATTTAAAATAAATAAGTTTTGTTTGAGGAAGGAACTCACTTTTGCTAGGTTCCAATTAACGCCTCTTTAGCAAAGATAACATACAACCTTTGCCTCTGCTGTTGTGGATTAGATAAGGAAGAGGATCTTCCTCATTATCTCTTTAATTATTTCTTGACCCAAGATATTAGGGGGGGGGGGCTGATCAGTCTAAAATTGGTATCAATAGGTCAGTGTGCCAAAGATAGATTTCTCCTTTGCGATAATAATATTAAGATACGGAGAGCTGTTTCTAATTTCTTAAAGGCATCGGTTAACACAAAAGCCAAATTTTATGAGGCAAAAATTACAATTTGTATTGGAGAAGCATAATCATTTCAATTCTTTTCATTCTATTTTTGTATGTTTTATTAGTTATGACTAATAGTTACTTATAAAAAAACTAAAGCTGGAAATTGGCCTGAAAGAATTTTAAACCTCAGTACAGATGGATTTAGTAATTTTATTCAGTGGGTTGACTGACAGGCTTTAAACAATTTCAATTGATTTATGCTTAACTTTAATTTTATTTCTCATCACATTTATCCCCTGTTTTATATTGTTATGACCAAAGATGATAAGCAGTAAAGTTAAATTGAACTATATTTATTTACTGTATTTGTTTTTGTTTACTGTCACATACGAACTGCTCTGGGGGTTCTTCCATGGCTGAAGAGCAGGATAGGTAAAGGTAAAGGGACCCCTGATCATTAGGTCCAGTCGTGGCCGACTCTGGGGTTGCGGCGCTCATCTTGCTTTATTGGCCGAGGGAGCCGGCGTACAGCTTCCGGGTCATGTGGCCAGCATGACTAAACCACTTGTGGTGAACCAGAGCAGCGCACGGAAATGCCGTTTACCTTCCCGCCGGAGCGGTACCTATTTATCTATTTGCACTTTGACGTGCTTTCGAACTGCTAGGTTGGCAGGAGCAGGGACTGAGCAACGGGAGCTGACCCCGTCGCGGGGATTCGAACCACTGACCTTCTGATCGGCGAGTCCTAGGCTCTGTGGTTTAACCCACAGCACCACCCGCGTCCCTTTTGAAGAGCAGGATAGAAATATATAAAATAAGTGCCAAATGCACATGAAATAATATTGACTAGAGCAGATTTCCCCAGCTTGGTGCACTCCAAACCTTGTTGGATTCCAGTTCCCATCAGTCCCAGCCAGCATGGCAAACAGCCAGGAATTATTGGAGCCATAGGCTGAAAATCTGGTGGGTACCATATTCAGGTAGGTAGCCGTGTTGGTCTGAAACAGTTGAAATGTTCTTCGGATACACGGAAACAGAAGTCACCAGACCCTTATATATAGTGGGAGGGTGGGGTAGGGTTTTTCTCAGGAGGGTAGTAGGAGATGAGTGTAGAGGTGGATCAAAGTTTGGGGAAGGTTGTATGAAGCAGGACCTTCTCTCTTTTGGTACCCACTATTTGAAATATAGTGTTGGCATCCATCTGTGTCAGGAATCAATAGAAGAGTGTGCCTTTGGGGGGTCAAACTGTTGGAAGGTTACAGCGCCTGCTGTGGCTGTAGAGAACAATGTGGGAGAGACGTATGTTGTTGCAGTTAGGGCATATGAAGGCTTGCAGTTGTGCCACTGCAGATGCACCATAGTGTTTCTACTCTCTGTGCTCCTCCCAGGGGTTATGTCTCCTGTGGTCACTGCTATGGATACACAACTTGACTGCCTATCCCCAAGCAAGGCATGGCAGCGGTGATGTTGCCAGCCTTCAGGTCACATTTGCCGAAACCTTCGTCTTCACTGGCACATTGTCTGGCAATCCGCTGGAGATCACTTCTTGCCTTAATGAGCATTTGTTGTTGTTTAGTCGTTTAGTCGTGTCCGACTCTTCGTGAACCCATGGACCAGAGCACGCCAGACACTCCTGTCTTACACTGCCTCCCGCAGTTTGGTCAAACTCATGCTGGTAGCTTCAAGAACACTATCCAACCATCTCGCCCTCTGTTGTCCCCTTCTCCTTGTGCCCTCCATCTTTCCCAACATCCAGGGAGTCTTCTCTTCTCATGAGGTGGCCAAAGTATTGGAGTCTCAGCTTCAGGATCTGTCCTTCCAGTGAGCACTCAGGGCTGATTCCCTTACGAATGGAGAGGTTTGATCTTCTTGCAGTCCATGGGACTCTCAAGAGTCTCCTCCAGCACCATAATTCAAAAGCATCAATTCTTCGGCGATCAGCCTTCTTTATGGTCCAGCTCTCACTTCCATACATCACTACTGGGAAAACCATAGCTTTTACTATACGGACCTTTGTTGGCAAGGTGATGTCTCTGCTTTTTAAGATGCTGTCTAGGTTTGTCATTGTTAATGAGCATAGCAAGTGTCTTTTTGCAGGGTGCATGCTACCTTAGTTCTCAAACTTAATCCGTTCCAGAAGTCCGTTCCAAAACTAAAGCGTTCCAAAACCAAGGCACACTTTCCCATAGAAAGGAATGCAAAACAGATTAATCCGTTCCAGACTTTTAAAAGCAACCCCTAAAACAGCAATTAACATGAATTTTGCTAATGAGACCATTGATTCATGAAATGAAAGCAATGATCAATGTACTGTATTATAAAATAAATAAGACAGTATTGTAGATGATAAAAAATAAAATGAATATTTTTTTTCTTCCCTGCACTGATGATAATCATTGTTTGGATAGGGTTTTTTTATCCATTTCCACTGTCACACAATCAATCAATCAGTCAGTAGCTGAACTGGGTTCCACACAGTCACAAAAACAAATTAACTGAAAAGGCCTCAAAACCAAAAATGGCAAATAAATAGCAAAAACAAAAGCGCCAAACTTCATCCATTCCAGAAGTCCGTTTTACTTCTGAAATGTTTGAAAACCAAGGTGTGGTTTCTGATTGGTGCAGGTTCCCCGGAAACAATAGCTGACAGCTGCATCAGACGTTCGGCTTCTGAAAAATGTTTGAAAACCGGAACACTAACTTCTGGGTTTTCGGTGTTTGAGAACCAAGGTACCACTGTAGTTCAGAAGAGCCTCACACTTTGCAATGTCTTTTGTGCTGGTCTCACACCAGTTTGGGGTCTGTTGCTCTGTTTTGTCAAAGGAGGACATAGCTGTTTTATATATTGCCTCTTTGATGTGGTTCCACCTTGCTCTGATGCTATCTCAGGGGAGAGCATGTTTGATGGACTCAGAGAAGTGTTCACAAAGTTCAGGTATGGCTGTTATGATGTGAGGGCACACTTTATGCTTTGTGCTATGGACCCTCTGTCTGGAGATAGATCTTGCACGCCACCAGGGAGTGACCTGTGTCAGTAGTGCCAACTTGGAAGTAGGTTGAGAATAACTTAAGATATTTTCTCATTATTTGAAATAAGAGCTCTGTTTGTTGGACAGTATTCTGAATGGGGTCAGCATGCTTCATCTCTTTATGCCCTTTCCTAATGGTAAATACATATTTCAAGAGCTTTTTAGGTTGCAATCTGTTGCTATCCAGGAGTGTTTCATTCCCGCTGGGTGTTGGTATTAAGAGTTGTTTTTTTTTAAGCATTGTATGGTTTATTGGACTATTTATTAGGAAAGATGTCTCACCAGAATCTTTTATGAATAAGTAAGCTTCTAAGGGAAAAGAGAGAGAAAACTACTATCCAGAGTAAGAGGAAATCCTGCATTAAAAAAACAGCCATACTTGTGGGTTTAGGTTGGAACTAATATTAGCTGTAAAGGAAAGTGCAGCATTTGGAATTAAGGCATTGATGTTCCTCAGTCCCTTTGCCTTGTTTGTTGAACACTTGAATGATGGAATTTGTCTCTGTGATATCCAATTCCCTACCATTTCAATGACTTTATCTCTGTCTCAGTTCCAGGACATAATTCAAAATGGATAATGATGAATACAAGTATTTTAATTGTGCCTATTTCAATGGGAATTTGCCATGGTAACCTAGCACATGAAGATATTTCTCTATTTCTGTATTTGGAACGATTCAGTGTTAGGTGGTCACACAATCATATTAGCATAGCAGTCTGAAATGATACACCACAGTAGCAAATAAATGAGATAGGCTGCTCAGTTGTGTACAGAAGCCCTTAGCAGGGAAGAATTAGAGGTCTGGGCTCCATGAGAATAACAGCTGCTGCACTCAGCTTGTCCCTGCACTTTTACATACCCGGGACCAAGGGATGTAGATACTGGGAAAGGGCATTAGGATCCTAACCATCTTCCATTTTTGAACTGAAATGGTGAGCAAATGTTTGGGCCAATCTTTTACTCTTCTGCTTTTGTAATTATCACTGCCTCTAAAGCAGACATCCGACTCCTTCTTGTTGTCACTTCATGCTACTTATATTCTTTGATAAATGGGTCGATTGTTTGTGCGTTTCGAATCCCTTCCCTTCCCTTTACGCTATTTCTACATTCTAAGATTGGGAGCAGCTAGCCTCCAATTAATAATGTGACTGGGGGGAAATCCAGCACAACATGTCTCATGTATTGGGGAGATCCACTGGGGGGGGGGGGTTCTGATGCAGAAGTGAAGCCATGAATGTGTTTACCATTTTCTAAAAGTCATCCATCTAATAGATTTTAAGTAGAAGCAAAATGCACAAATAATGTTTCATCATGAGAATCATTAAGGTCCTATCTACCATCCATACAGTTGTTGAACCCCTGAATTACAAACAATAACTTTTAGCATTATTATGTTATATTACTTTGCAGCAACTGTCATGAGATGTCTCCTTTTTTAAAAAAGAGCAAAACAAAAACTAAAGACCAAAGTGAGATCAATCTGTCTCTAATATCTGATTAGTAAAGCACCTTTTACATATTTGGGAGGCTTTATTTCCCCATCAGAACTGTCAGTTAATATTTGCTACATATATCTTCAAAACATCAATTAGACATGTATAGCTAAATAGTGAGCTAATGTGCTGTGAACTGGGGGGATTCTGTTCAAAAAGAAAGTATCTTTAAGGTCTAGGCAGTTTATGATTTATTTTTTTAAAAAGTAATCAACACAATCAGAAAATCAGAAAATCAAAAATGGACATTTGCAAAACATTTCAGACTTGTAAGCAATATGCCAGGTTAGAACAACAGGATAGCTTTGTGAATATGTGTATGTGCCTGTACATGTACAGTGGTGCCTCGCAAGACGAAATTAATCCGTTCCGCGAGTCTCTTCGTCTTGCGGTTTTTTTGTCTTGCGAAGCACGGCTATTAGCGGCTTAGCGGCTTTAAGAAAAAGGAAACAAACTCGCAAGAACTCGCAAGATGTTTCGTCTTGCGAAGCAAGCCCATAGGGAAATTCGTCTTGCGGAACGTCTCAAAAAACGGAAAACTCTTTCGTCTAGCGAGTTTTTCGTCTTGCGAGGCATTCGTCTTGCGGGGCACCACTCTATTTATATGTATATATGTGTGTCTGGGGCAAGTTGGAGTTAAAACAACAACAACCCAAAAACACTCCCAGAGAGTTAAAATGCTTCAAAAATGTGGGTGGGGTGGAGAGAGAGAGAGAGAGAGAGAGAGAGAGAGTCTGACACTATATAAAGAAAACACTGAGGGGAATGGGGGAGAGGAACTAGAGCTTGCTCCTTAGGAAAAACTCCTCCTGAAACATTCCCATGAAGGACTCTGCTACCCCGAGAGCCAAGAGAGAGAGGGGAAGGCATACTATTTGGAATGATCTATGGCCAAGAGAGTGGGACGCAGGTGGGGCTGTGGTCTAAACCACTGAGCCTAGGGCTTGTTGATTGGAAGCTTGGTGGTTCGAATCCCTGCGATGGAGTGAGCTCATGTTGTTTGGTCCAAGCTCCTGCCAACCTAGCAGTTTGAAAGCACTTCAAAGTGCAAGTAGATAAATAGGTACCACTCCGGTGGGAAGGTAAACAACGTTTCCGTGCACTGCTCTGGTTTCGCCAGAAGCGGCTTAGTCATAGTGGCCACATGACCCAGAAAAACTGTCTGTGGACAAACGTTGGCTCCCTCAGCCAGTAAAGCAAGATGAATGCCGCAACCCCAGAGTCGTTTGCGACTGGACAACTGTCAGGGGTCCTTTACCTTTATGGCCAAGAGAAAGTTGAGAAAAGTAAAGAGGAGGATGGCGAGAAAAGCCGAATGTGGGTGAAAATGAGTTGCAAAAAAGCAGGAAGTAGGAGGCATGGGGATGGAGTTGAAGATGAAGATGAAGGCAAGGGTATGAAAAAGATCTGAAGAGTGGGGGGATGATGGTTTCATAGGTCAGCAGAAGGTGAAAAGGTGCTTAGCAATTGTATGGGCAGGGAGGAAGTTTGCCATGATGCCATACGTTTGGATTTTCCCAGACATTACTGGGATTTCAGGCAGAATTGATGTCTGGGTTGAATTTCTGAAAGGCAGCATTGTGTCCTAGATCTTAGACAAGTCAATCAAATGCTTTTTTGGCAATGGGGTGGGTTTTTAATTCTTGAAACATGGCAACTCCACCATGGGCGTGCTTTGTTTACAAGCAGAGTTGCACAAAAAAGTGGGGAGGAGGCATGGACATGGGGGTGAAAACAAGGGTGAAAAGTGAGGCTGTAGAACAGAAGAGTAAAACAGCTTCAGAAATGGGTTTGGGAAGGTGAATAGCAAGCATAATTGCCTGGTGTGGGAAGGGGACTTTCTAGGGGTCTAAGGGCAGGGGGAATGGCAGAGGGTTTGGTAAATGGAGCAAGCAGAGGCACAGCCTCTAGTCTATATACTGTAGACACACACACAACATATCATAACTTCAACACATCTGAAAATAAATAAATGTGCTACCACTGTGAATAAATTAATATATAAATATATGGGTTAACATTTTGAGCAAATGCAGGGCTAATTCATTTTTGTTTTGTTTATGACACTCTAATCAACATGAGATCAATGGAACTGTGGTTGCCATAGTGGTATGGATGTCAAAATGTTCATGCATTCATTAGATTTCAAGAAACAACATGTTTTCTGGGATAAGTAATTAGAGGTACCTAATCTTTCCGACTGAAAACTCATCAAACTATGTGGTGTGTGCGTGTGTGTTGAACATAAAAATTGAGCAAAAAACAATATTTTTTTTAAAATTGAAAGTGAGTCCTTGCTCAGATCCAAGTCCTTGTTCTCCCTCTCTCTTGAAATCAAGGCAGAATGGAAGCTCACAAAACAATGTCACACACACACACACACACACACACAAATGTAATGAGATGTAGAGAAGAATTTAATATTGAACAAATCCCAAGAAGCACAGAATGGTTTGTCTTCTTAGAATAAAACTTCATCCACAATTCCCTTGATGAAAAGCCAATAGGTTTGAAACTTGCTGGGTTTTGTTCTACATCAATAAATTCTTCACTGCATTCCATCATGGATTATTCTGCTCTTTGGGGGGAAAGTAACTGACAGCACAATCTTATACATGCATACTCAGAAGTAAGTTGTATTTAGTTTACTGGCATGACTCCCTGGTAAGTGGGTATAGGATTGCAGCTGGAGACTCCCTTCCTTTGGGAGAATGGAGAGGTTAAGAATGTTGATGTTCATTTATTTGCCTTTTGTAAAATAGAAAGTGAAAAATGAAGATTATGCAAAAAAGGTGGGGAAAGCCTCCATGCAATTCATGCATGGGTTGCTTCAACACATCAGAAACAAGCTAAAGGAGCACTAGGGTAACTCTCAGAACCATCTCCAAAAAAAGGTCATTAGATCCAGTACTATGTAGAAAATGAAACTCTTTATTTTAGCACAAACGATGTGAAAATAATAAAATGGTAACACTTCCACTCTCATACTGTGCATTTCGAAAGCCATTTGTGTGCGGTTATGTGTTCACAGTAAAGACATGTGAAGGGCAGCAGAGCCAGACATGTAAGCCCCAGTTCCAAAGACTCTAAATCTATGGGGAACTTTCATGTGTTGAATGTGGAAGTCCCAAGGAGGCTTCTGATTGCTTTTAGCTGAACAAACTTAGAAGCCTCCACAAGACTGGAGAATTTGCATTATCAGGGCTTGCAGTCCTGCAAAGCCTTGCTGCTCCAGGCATTGTGCTCCCCAGTCTCCAACCCGCAGACAAATAAAGGACCACATAGACTGGTTTCGATCGAAACAGGTCACAACTTTATTGAATACAGATGAGAGAGGTTTGGCTTGGGCATGGGGCAATCAAAATACTTCCGGCCCGCCCACCGGAAATGACGTGTAGGTCAATCCAGGCAGGGGGGTTCCTAAGACTTAGATCAAATAGGGTGAGCCCCCCACAGGGACCACCATCTGAGGGAGCGTCCTCAGCCCTGGCTCCACCTGGGCACGTGGACATGACCACTCCCCCCAGATACCTTTAACGCAGTGTTTCTCAACCTTGGGTCCCCAGATGTTGTTGGACTACAACTCCCACCATCCCTGAGCTCTGGCCTTGCTAGCTAGGGATGATGGGTTGTAGTTCAACAACATCTGGGGACCCAAGGTTGAGAAAGGATGCTAACAGGATACCCAGCATTTGGAGGGGCAGGTGGAGACTACAACCTCCCCTCCATCCAAGACAAAGGATTGCCCAATGCCCAACCACCACTTGAGCAGAATGCTCACTGCCAGACCACTCACACCTGCATCCATCCACAATGTCTGCTAACCAAATATCATTTCCTGTTGAGGAAAGGTGAACACCATCAGGTCTAAAGAGAGATACTTCTGAGAATGTAATATTGGGGTGCTGAATCACCCAGCCAACCCATTGCAGTATGCAGCGCCTTACTGCGCGGTTGATTCCCACAGGGTTAGGGTTGCATCATAGACATCTCTCAAGCATATCGGACCAGCTGAGGCATATGGTGGAGCATAAATTGTGCAGCGCCTGCAAGTCCTCAATTATATATATTTTTTTAAGAATAATTTTTTATTAACCAACCAATCACATCATATCAAACCAAATTACATAAATTCCAAATTACGCAGCCGAATTTTAATTTTTTGTTGATATTTCAAGTTCTGAAGGGGATCCAATCAACTTCTTGCTTCTTACTGCTGTTTTAATGTCCACAAATCTAACCTTATGATGTTCAGAGTACTATCCAGTCCTTTCTTATTGTTTTTCCAGATCTCTTGTTGTTATTTTCATATATTTTTCCTTTCTTTTTGTGACCTCTGATAATCTCCGCAAGCTGGTTAGAACAGTTTGTAATCCTGCGTGGATTTTTTTTTTTTATCCAGTAACCATATCCAGACGTTTTCCATATAACATCACTTCCATACATCAAAACAGACTTAGCGTCATTAATCTTCACCAATCTGCCTCCTTTCTCAAAACCTCTGAGGAGATTCACTAGGAATGCAGTCTGAAAACAAGTCCGTTCTTCCTCCCGGCTATAAATCCTTTGGCAAGATGGCGACTCTGAATTAATTGCTGCGCCATTCCCAAAAGCTCTTATTGCTTCTCGATCTCCATAAAGCATACTTTTGGTTAAAGTTTATCTCCACACAGACCTTAATCATCCTGCTTGGGTCAGTTCAACCAACGATTCTAATGAGGAGGGGTTCTTGTAAATCACATAGAAGGAAGGTCCCCCCCATTCAGTCCCGTTGTCAACATACCCAGCCTTTGGTGTATCTTCATCGTAAAATATTCCTGTTTCTCCAACCCGTTGTCTTCTTTCACAGAGGTCACTTAAATTAGCAGACTTCACTCCCCTTCTTCACTTGAAATATGTGCATTTGCTTCTTTTGTAATTAATTATTCCAAATTGCTGCAACTAGTGCGCGATCAGAGACAGCATCCAGGAGAGCCGAGATCCACACGGGGGCATTCTGCCTAGGGCCCTCACCCCTTCTTTCGAATTAGGGGTGATTTTTGGGCACAGCAGGCAAGGGCAGTGTTCCCCATTTCCTTGGGGCAACAAGGGAGGCTGCCTACTCCCACAACAGCCTCTTAATTACCCCGTGTGGGTCGGAGAGATGGTATTGTCGGCCATCTTCCAATGCGCCCCCTAGTGGCCCCCTGCAAGTCCTCAATTATAGCCCACGTTAAGTCAATTCCCTTGCATTGGCCCAAATCTCCCCCCCCAACTGAATAATCAGGGCGTCCGGGGGCCCTTTGTGACACCCTGATAACTCCATTTTGTATGGGTCTTTGGACCATAATAAAGAATGTTTGTGTGTTTTGGGAGGTGATACAAATCCTACCAGGCACTTAGGGTGGCATTCAAGCCAGTGTGGTGTAGTGGTTAAGAGCGGTAGACTCGTAATCTGGGGAACCAGGTTCGCGTCTCCGCTCCTCCACATGCAGCTGCTAGGTGACCTTGGGCTAGTCACACTTCTTGAAGTCTCTCAGCCCCACTCACCTCACAGAGTGTTTGTTGTGGGGGAGGAAGGGAAAGGAGAATGTTAGCCGCTTTCAGACTCCTTCGGGTAGTGATAAAGCGGGATATCAAATCCAAACTCCAAACTCTTCACAACTCTGAAACTTAGGCTGATGGTGAATCGTCAAACCAGGGATCTTCACAGAGGACTCATGATTTTAACCCTGGTATGCTGCACCCTAGTCTATTTAATATCACCCCAAACACTGGAAAGAAGGCATAGAAGTCTGGTGAGGGTGGGCACAATCTTTTCCCATAGGGCTTTTAATCACACTAGAAAAATTGTGACAGCAGAGACCCCTTTTAAACCAAGGCTAGACACTTCAGTTTAGTTTGGCACCAAGGACTGCAATGCTTTGGTGTTCACCCCTTTGCAAGTGGGGGGGGGGCGAACAACTCAGCTTTCCCCTTATGCCCTTCTTGGTCCCACCCATGTGACCTTATTGTATTTGTCAATAGGGACTTGACCTCTTTGACCACAGGATGCACTGCAAGGCCCAGATGTTACCGGGTGGCTCTGGGTACAGGAGGTTGGTTGGGGGAAAGGAAAGCCTTGCATGAGCAGAGTTCCACTCAACTCTCTCTCTGGATCTTTCCCAATATGTTTTCCAATGTAGATTACTTGTAGCTAGATGGAGCTTCCCTATATAGACATCGGATACATGAGAGTACTTGAAATTCAGGCAATTTACATTTAATGTTGTCCAGCAGAGCTCCTGCTGAATTCTGATTCATCTGTAATTTATTATTTAATCTCAGGATGAAACGCTGTGGAGAGAGAAAAAAGTTGCATCCAAAATGTTACTCCGTTTCAAAATTAGCCATCTGCCCAGTTGTATGAGCTCAGCCTTTTCCAGTTCCAAAACAACCCATTCTTAATTAAGGTCTGCTCAGAAATAACCTGTGTGAAAGGTGTTCCTGAACTCTTTGTTTAATGCTCAATGATACTGATCCCAGCAAACCTTGCCAATTTACCTGTCACAAATCAAACTCTCCAAGTGTCCCTGTTTTCCAGGGACAGTCCCAGATTTACAGAAGCCGTCCAGGTTTCTGATTTGATCCTGGAATGTCCCACTTTTCCTTAGGACATCTCTAGTTCCATAATAGATATGTTGGAGGGTATGGAGTCATGTGACCCCCCCCGAGCCAAGGAGATAAGTAACTATACAACCTTTAGAAAACATCTGAAGGCAGCCCTGTATAGGGAAGTTTTTAATGTTTTTTAAAATGTTTTTATATATGTTAGAAGCCACCCAAAGTGGCTGTGGCAACCCAGTCAGATGACTGGGATATAAGGAATAAAATGATGATGATTGTTATTATTAATACTATTATGGAATAAAGGTAAAGGGACCCTTGACCATTATGTCCAGTCGTGACCGACTCTGGGGTTGTGGCGCTCATCTTGCTTTATTGGCCGAGGGAGCCGACGTATAGCTTCCAGGTCATGTGGCACACATGACTAAGCCGCTTCTGGCGAACCAGAGCAGCACATGGAAACACCGTTTACCTTTCCGCCAGAGTGGTACCTATTTATCTCCTTGCACTTTGACGTGCTTTCGAACAGCTAGGTTGGCAGGAGCAGGGACCGAGCAACGGGAGCTCACCCTGTCACAGGGATTCGAACCGCCGACCTTCTGATCGGCAAGTCCTAGGCTCTGTGGTTTAACCCACAGCGCCACCCACGTCCCTAATATTATGGAATAGGACGTCCCTATTTTATCAGAGAAATGTTGGAGGGTATGAATGCTATTTCATATTATCAAATTTGCAGTAGTAGAGAACCATTACTGTGCACAATGAAATTATACCATGCATGCCCTTTTCCCATCCACCGGGTTCACAAGGGAGTCAATTTAAAGTGATTGTCAACACCACCAAACATCAGTGGAGTTTTGCCGATTGATTGTTTTTATTTGTGCTCTCACCACAGCATGGTCTGATTACTGTATAAAGCACTATTATGAAGTCATATTTTTTTTAATACTGCATGTTTTATCAATGGGCCTGCAGCAATGTCAAAACCATTAGTGTCCTGATCTCCAAACCATGGAGAGAATGCCTAGGATATGAGAGGACAAGGTACATAGATTTCAGAACTGGTTTACATCAACGTCCAAGCAACAGAAACAGCTGCATTTAAAAGCAGTCAGGGTGTCTCATGTGATGGTAGTGACACTTTAATTAGAACTCAGATGTAAGAAGATGTGGAAGAGTCGCAGGACACCGTTTCCCGCCTCCCCTTCCTTGTCTGCCATTGTTCTTCTCGTTTCACGAATGTGCTACTTGGTAATGAACTGAAATTTAATACGTCGTTTTCCATATTTCCACCTAGGACTGGCATAAATATGGTACCCTGTTTCCATTTAATGAATAGGTTTCTAGGAATGATTGCAATTTCTTTTATGCGATTAGAGAATTGGCGGCCATGTAAATGATGGTGCCATTCCCCATTTATGACGTGCCAATTTTCTGCCAGCATAGAAAAATCTGGGCCATTTGCTAGTAATAGAGTGATTTGCTAATTAACATTAGAGCTCTCTATTGCCATTCCCTAAGTGGCTAAACAACAAATGGCTATATAATTTATTATTATGTAAAATCCATCCATCCCCCACCTCCCAGCCCAACCTTTCCTTTTACTCAAAATGTATTTATGTTGACAGGATCGTCAATGATTTCCAAGAAATCTACCCAATGAAACAAAGCTGTTTTCCCTGTGTTGATAATATGGGCACAGTTCAGCCAAAGTTAAGCATTTATGCATTTTGTTAATTTCAATAGGAAAGTTAAGCATTTGCTTCACTTCCTCCCACTGAAATGACACAATGAGATTGGATATGTACATTTTGAGGACTATGGGGTGAAATAATAGTGAATGGATTATCCCGTTTTCTTCTGCCTTTTTGTTTATAAGTCTTTTGGGTGGTCTTCCCCCTGTAATTCGCTTGATTTCCTCCCCCTCTGTATAACTCTTGCTAAATAATTTTGTTTCCAAAACAGCAATATAAGCGCTGCTTTCTTCATGCTTTCATTCATTTCAATGTTTACAGCCCCACTGTTCCACTGAAAAATGTCCACCATTACAAAATTTAAAAATATAAGAAGAAACAGTTTATGACAGAAATGAAATGGTGCTTTAAAAAAACTAAGTCACAATGGAAAGCCAGGAGTTAACAGGCAACAGCTATGAAATCAGGCAAAATACTTTCTTTGGGAGCAATCCTATATGCAAGACACTGGCATAAAGCAATACAGTGTGAATTAAGGCAGCATAAAATTACACTAGATCCCAACTCTGCCAAGCAATGGGACTATTGAGCTTGGACTAAGCTAGCAAAGAGAACATGTATTTAAATTTGTGTTTGCATTTTTTGCTGGCTTAATTTATGCTGGGTTTCCAGGTCATGCAACTGTTCTGGCTGGGATTAGAATCCATCCTACATCCCCAGTCCCTATTCCCACCATGGCCACATTCCCAGAAACCTCCTTTTCAGGGATTAAATTTGGGTCGTAGCTGATCTGGAATGGGAAAAATATACTGCTGTATCTCCTCCTGAGCTGAGCATGGGGGAATGAAGCCAGTGAGCCTGGTTATACTGGGAGATCCACTGGATTCTAACCCCATTCTTCCCAGTGGACCTTGCTGCCATAGAGTTGCAAGGATTACCTGTTTGCCAAAGCAAGCAAGTAGAGAGGTGGAATATGTTATTCACAACTGAGTCCCAATTCGTTGTTCAAGTACAACTCCCATGATCCCCAGAAACCTTAGCCAATGCTCAAAGATGATGAGAGTTGTACTCCAGCAAAATCTGGGCACACATTGTTGAAAGACAGAAAAAAGGCAGACAAATGGGTCTCCATGGGGAGACATAGTGAATTGAGCAGAACAGACTCCTCCAAATCTATGATTTCATGATTTTATGATAACGTCTCTTGGCAGTGTCATACAGAATAAGAGAAAGCAAAGGCACAGAAAACCAGTGATGAAGTGCTATGAACAATATGCTAAGCTCTCTACCATCAAGAGTATCTGCAGCTCTTCTTTGTACAAATGCCAGGTGGCCAACAATTTAGGCAAGAGCAGACTCTACTCAGTTAAAGTATATTTTGGAAATTGCTGCTATGCCTATTGGACTTTTTTCCTGCTCCGTGCTATATAGAATTGGGTAATAAGCAACTCTGGGAAGCAGCTTGTCAATATTTTTTAGACTATTATTATTTTCCAGAACTGAGCTCTGCTTTGACCTTGAATAAGTGTCAAGTGAGGGGTTGGGTAGAATCCAGAAGGGACCTGCGACTAATTAGAAATACCAATTTCCCCCCTTAGTATCCACACTTGAGAACAGAACATTTTAGAGCTGTTTTTCCGATCAACTCCCACCAGCTTCCTTTAAAAAAATGTCTTTATTGAGCTGTTTTTCCAGGTGATGGCCATCTTGAATGGCCACTGCAACAAGGTGCCATAAGCAGAGAAACTTTATATTGGTGGTCAGCCTCAGGTGAAATACATCACATTATCTGTTAGCCTGACTCAACCAAGAGATCACTTTCTGAAACCTTTGCTCATAAAAGTACACCCTGGCATAAATGGTTTGGTTTCTTTTGAGTGGCAATAATAGCTTTGTAACACAGAGAGTAGCCCTCTGTGGACGGGCTGGGGTGTGTGTGGAAATAATCAGAGAAAAGTTATACAAAATTGCTATAAATTGTTGCAGCGATTCAGAGGTTTGAACTACCACCCCATCTCATTGCTTAATGTGGATTATTTTGACTAAAAGACTAAAAAAGTGTTAATGGAAGAGATTCATAAAGACCAAGCAGGCTTTCTCCCGGGTAGACACTTGTCGGATAATGTGAGAAACATAATCAACATCTTAGAAAAATTAGAAGTGAACATAAATACTAAGGCAGTTTTGGTATTTGTGGACGCGGAGAAAGCTTTTGACAATATTTCCTGGAGCTTTATGAAGAAGAACCTACAGGGGATGGGGGTAGGCCAAGGCTTTGAAAACGGTATAAGTGCAATTTATTCAGAACAAAAGGCTAAATTAATTGTAAATAATGTGGTGACGGAAGAATTTAAGATAGAAAAAGGGACACGACAAGGTTGCCCAATTTCCCCATTGCTTTTTATATCGGTCCTGGAGGTTTTGCTGAATATGATTAGAAGGGACCAGTTGGTTAAAGGTATACAAGTCGGAGCCAAGCAGTACAAATTGAGAGCATTTGCAGATGACTTGGTATTGACGTTACAGGAGCCAGAATCTAGTACCAAAAGGGTTTTAGAACTGATTCAAGAATTTGGTCAGGTTGCAGGATTTAAACTGAATAAGTTAAAAACTAAGGTTTTAGAGAAAAACTTAACACCGATTGAGAGAGAGAGGTTTCAGAATGAGACAGGTTTAACAGTGGTTAAGAAAGTGAAATACCTGGGGATTAACATGACAGCAAAAAATGGGAATTTATTTAAAGACAATTATGAAAAATGCTGGGCTGAAGTGAAAAAAGATTTAGAAATTTGGTCAAATTTGAAGCTTTCATTGCTGGACCGTATTGCTGCGATAAAAATGAATGTATTGCCTAGAATGTTGTTTCTGTTTCAAACATTGCAAATTTTGGACAAAATGGACTGTTTCAAGAAGTGGCAGAGAGATATCTCTAGATTTGTCTGGCAGGGCAAGAAGCCTAGAATAAAATTTAAAATACTAACAGATGCAAAGGAAAGAGGTGGATTTGCCCTGCCAGACCTTAAACTTTATTATGAATCAGCAGCTTTTTGCTGGTTGAAAGAATGGCTGCTTCTTGAAAACGCAGACATCTTGGATTTAGAAGGTTTTAATAATGTATTTGGATGGCATGCATACTTGTGGTATGACAAGGTCAAAGCACATAAAGCATTTAAAAACCATATTGTCAGGAAAGCATTGTTTAATGTTTGGATATGATATAAGGACTTATTGGAAAACAAAACCCCAAGGTGGCTGTCACCGATGGAAGCGAAAGCTCTGAAAAAGCTCAATATGGAGGTCAAATGGCTGAAATATTGGGAAATTTTGGAACAAGATGGAGATAGACTGAAACTGCAGAGTTTTGAGAAATTAAAAAACAAAGTGCGAGACTGGCTTCATTATTATCAGATAATGGAGGCATATAATTTGGACAAGAAAATTGGCTTCCAGGAGGAAAAATCAAAATTAGAAACAGAACTGTTAGAACCCAAAACTAAGAATCTGTCGAAGATGTATAACTTGCTGTTGAAATGGAATACACAGGATGAAACGGTGAAATCAGCTATGATTAAATGGGCACAAGATGTTGGACATAACATAATGATGGCTGACTGGGAACAGTTATGGACCACAGGTATGAAGTTTACGGCATGTAATGCCTTAAGAGAGAATATTATGAAAATGATATACAGGTGGTACATGACACCAGTCAAGCTTGCAAAAATCTATCATTTGCCCGATAATAAATGTTGGAAATGTAAGGAAACTGAAGGTACATTCTTTCACCTTTGGTGGACGTGCCCAAGGATTAAGGCTTTCTGGGAGATGATATATAATGAAATGAAAAAGGTATTTAAATATACCTTCCTGAAGAAACCAGAGGCCTTTCTCCTGGGCATAGTCGGCCAATTGGTGCCAAAGAAGGACAGAACTTTCTTTATGTATGCCACAACAGCAGCAAGAATACTTATTGCAAAGTACTGGAAGACACAAGACCTACCCACTCTGGAAGAATGGCAGATGAAGGTGATGGACTACATGGAATTGGCCGAATTGACTAGCAGAATCCGAGACCAGGGAGAAGAGTCGGTGGAAGAAGACTGGAAGAAATTTAAAGACTATCTACAGAAATATTGTAAAATTAATGAATGTTAGAATGATGTTAGAATGAAGTTAAGTGGTTTAAGCAGCAATGCTATAAAGACGTATGTAAAATGGACAGTTAACAGGTGAAAATCCAAAGTTATAGTATATTAAGTTAAAGGACTAAGAGAAAATAAAGAAAAGAAATTGCTGAATTAACTAATTGAATTGGAATACAAAAAAGGGAGGTATGAGGAGGTCAGGGAAGTAAGGAAATGAATGTAAGGCGTGGAAGACTGATGTATTTTTAAGTGTTTTTTATTCTTTTCCCCCCTGTATTTTGTATTTTTCTTGTATTTTTACTTTGGTCTTTTGTTTTTGTTTTTGTTTTTTCTCCTTTTCTTTACTTATGTAATTCTTCTTTTTGAAATCTTAATAAATATCATTTAAAAAACAACAACAGAGGTTTGATCTGAAAACAAGCTGGGTTCGAGTTTGCTGGTGTCTCTGGTAACCTTTCTCTGGATGTTGGCTCATGGTATAGATATATGAGCTATATTGTTTTCTTGTACTGTTGCTGGGGGTTTGTCATGGCATTTGGTTAGAAAAATAAACTTGTTTGCTTGATTGATTATTATAGCATTGATTATCATATTTGTACTATTGGCATCCAATTACAATTTTCTGTTCTTGATCTTTCATCATTGCCCATTTTCTAATATTCTTATTTGTAGCTTCTTAGCTACCCACGTATCTTAAGTTAGGCAAGATGACATTCCTCATTTTTCATTGTCTCCTCTTTCATATATTTCTCTCCCTTTTTTCTTGGCTGTTTATAGCGTCTCTATTACTTTTGGCAAATGTGGATGTTCTATTTGATTCTTCTCTCATTCCCTCCCATATTTTTATGTTGCTAAACATTGAAATTTTCAACTTTTAGGGCCACATCTACACATATATTTAAAGCAGCGTGATACTACTTTATCACTTATTGCTCCCACCCCCCATCATGGGAAACGTAGTTTATTATGGAGGTTGAAAACTGTTCAGAGACTCCTATTGCCCTCACAAAGCTACAATTCTCAGAGTGCTTCAATAATCAACCCCTCTTCCCAGGATATTCTGGTATAACAATGCTCTAAATGTATGGTGTGGGTGTGCTCTAAAACTTTATAAAATCCATTTTTATATTTCTATACTTTGATTTTCATCTTCATTAACATCCGTTTTCCTTTTGCTACTACTTCCATCTTGTCATTGATGTCTAGCTGTGCAGGTTTACTAAGACATAAGCCCCATTGTGTTCAGGCAAAGTGTGCTTAGGATTGCCATAATAATAGCAATTGTTGTTGTTGTTGTTTACATAGCTGTCAACTTTTCCCTTTTCTTGCGAGGAATCCTATTCGGAATAAGGGAATTTCCCTTAAAAAGTTGACAGCTATGGTTGTTTATCTGGCTGAGTTTCTGCAGCCACTCAGGGTGGCTTCCAGCAGAATATAAAAACATAACAAAACAGCAAACTTTAAAAACTTCCTGTTACAGGGCTGCCTACAGATGTCTTCTAAAAATTGTGTAATCCTTTATCTTCTGTATTATTATCACTTTCACATAACTGTTCACCTTAATATTTTAATGCCCTAAATTTGATCTCATTATTCATCTTCTCTCTCTGTTCTCTGATGTTTTATCATTTTGGCAATTAGCTCAAGATTCTCTTATTAATTTTGATGCATTCATTCTACCTTCCCTTGTCATTTTTTTACTTAAATGCTACTCTCCCCCTCAATCCTTGAGTTTCTCTAATTATTTTCAGTTTTTCAAAGCCTATCCTAATCATTTCATTTACAAAACTGAGTTACTGTAGGTGTTTCAACAGATAATAAACATAATCTTCAAATTATTTTAAGTTTTTCAAACCACGTTTTAATAATTTCATTTCCAGCACTCAGTTATTGTAGGTGTTTTAGCAGTTAATAAACATCATCTCCTAGGGGTGTTAAGTGAGTAAGTGATTAAGAGCATAGTATATATGGAGTGTAGTGAGCTTTTTTTGGGGGGGGGGATGCCTATAAATATCAATAAGGTTGTTTACCAGAAGGTGGTATACCATTATGTGACAACATTGGTTTTCCATCCTCTTCCCCTCCAACAACCAGAATTTCATGGCCACTGAGCTTGCTAAGTCATCACTGGGTTATTTTGATGTTTCCTCCCTTCTAGGAGGATCATCTTCACTTTATATTTCTGCAGTACTGGGGTTTCCACAAACTTAGATACAGTGGTACCTCGGGTTACATATGCTTCAGGTTACATACGCTTCAGGTTACAGACTCCGCTAACCCAGAAATAGTACCTTGGGTTAAGAACTTTGCTTCAGGATGAGAACAGAAATCATGCTCCAGTGGCACGGCAGCAGCAGGAGGCCCCATTAGCTAAAGTGGTGCTTCAGGTTAAGAACAGTTTCAGGTTAAGAACGGACCTCCAGAACAAATTAAGTACTTAACCCGAGGTACCACTGTACTGCTATTTGGGGTCAGGATTCACATTTGGATAATTGACTTCAATGTCCGTATATATGAGGGATATGAAGCCTTTCAGAGCCCAAGTTTCCTTCTAGCCAACAATCTGAGGGCCACATGGCATTGGTAGGTATGGCCAGAGACAAAAGTGGGTAGGGCAATGGGATGTACATTTTACGTATATACAGCAGGCTAGTTTCTGCACATCCTCAAACATCCTTCTCTATCCTCCTTCCAAGCCTGCAAGAAGCACTATCAGAGTTTAAGGACACATTCCAGTGTCCTACCAGGAGGGTGCAAAACAAGGACAGTGAAAGATGCAGCCTGGGGAGTTAGGGATGTGTCTGGGAAGAGACCTGAGGGCCAGGAAATGAGTGTGAGCGGAAGTTGTTTGATGACCAGTGTTGAATGCCTTCAACGGCTTATCACATGGGTATCCTGCTCGCTGGTGTGAGATGTACCGCTGTCTGATTTATAATGAGTGAAAGACGATCCTATTCAAACATATGACTTGCTCTACTGACCAGCTATGAAAAGGCAATTTTTCCCAATTCAAAATTTGGGCTATTACCGCCAAGTAAGTGCCATTTTGTAATTAGTAGCTATAGCTGTGCCCATTCTCCTTTGGCCTTTGATGATCACAATTCTTCATAGCCCGTTTCACTGACATCCATGCTCATTAGTAATCATTTTAATATCTAGTTTAAATTGAATTGGTTATGCAACTCCTGTATTTGAATCTTCCTTTCCTCTGCTTTATTATCCTCTAGTTCTTATTCCAGAGATTTAAGGCAGACTATTTAGATCTCATCTAATGGTGACCTTTCTCTATATTATGAATGCTCCACTACGTTCCATCGTACATTTCAGTATTCACAAAGCTATGGGTTACTGTGCTTCTAAATATCGAAATAATCTGCCTTTAGAAATGAATTTTGTACAGGAATAAGCAGTGAGCGTAAAGATGGATGACTTTATTTACTCATATTTGTGTACATTGGGCTATCATTTACATATGAGTAAATGAGACGTGTAAAAAACACACAGGCAAATTCAAATAGTAACCAAATCCAATGCTGTGTTGCACTTGGTCAAGTTCACCAAAATCAATGAGTTCAAATAAGTTTAACCCTTTTACAGCCCACTCAACTTGGCTCCCATAGCATTTCAGGGAGGCAGTGGGTGCCTTTTTTGTGTTTCAGAGGTGCTTATGTGCTGATTCTTTCTGGCTACTATGCATGTTCATTCCTGAGTGGTCGCTGCATCCCTAGCTAGTTCACTGGTTCTACGTCCTGGATAAGTAATATTTAAAGAAGTAACATGCTTTAATGGTTAGAATGTTGCACTAAGACTGGGCATCTTACTGTTGGGGAAAAGAAGAATAAATTATGGTCATATACTAACCCAATACAAAATTCCTCTGATTATTAGAAATCACATTTCCTCCTCCCTGCAAAAGGTGTTTACCTTTAAGATACAGTACCAAAAATGAACCTCTCCAGCTATATAACAGATGATTTGGACTGAAATGCTGAATTTAGGCTAAGCTAATATTTGATCAAAATGTAATGTGCTCTTTCAAATTAAAATTGAATTACAGAATAGATTTCAAGGGTTGACAAGGTCAAGAATGAATTCTGCAGTCCATGGATATTTGTGCCACATCAAATTAGGTGTTCTTACACTATCCCACCCTTTCTTATGCATACAGTTAATATGCCTGCTTTATGGCATGGTTCTATTATTCTCTCTGTTCTCAATTCGAGTCTCCATGTCCTTGTGTAGACATAGCAAAATGGTACCACCCGTACAAAAGACAGCTGTATTGCTGGGCTTGGGGTAACCCCCAAGTTTACAGAATAGGCAACAATTCTCCAAGGGGTACCAAAACAGTTTTGTGTAGACTCAGGTCCCATCTACACTATACATTTAATTTTAAAGCACTCTTACACCACTGTAAACAGACATGAATTCAGCCAAAGTATCCCAGGAACTGTAGGGTTTGGTGTTGTTGTTGTTTTTAAGAGTGCTAAGAGTTGTTAGATGACCCCTATTTTCCCTACAGAGTTAGAATTTCCAGAGTGGTTTAACAAATGAACCCTATATGTATATTTAAAGTGATTTTTTTTTTTTGCGTTTTCACAAATAAAAAGAACAAGTAAAGGTAAAAAGGAGAAAAATGAAAACGTCCCTTCCTCTCCTTCTCTGGTATCTTTTCTTTTCCCTCTCTTCCGCATATTCTAAGTTACCAAGTTCTACTCTTTTTACTGATTAATTAAGTCTTGCTAAACTGTTCACTTGTTTATACTGATTTTTAAAATACTCTGCAAACATTTTCCAATCCTTTTTATATTCTTGGTCATCTTGTTCTCCTATCTTACTAGGTAGACCTGCTAGCTCTGCGTATTCCAACAACTTAAAGTGACATTCTTTCTTGGTCGGTACTACTTGCTGCCGTAGTGACATACATTTGTATACATATTTAGACATATATTTACACACACACACACACACACACACACACACACACGACTTACGTTGTTACTATTCCCAGAAGAAAAGCTTCTGGTTTCTTGGAATTCAATTTTATTTTGAAGGAGCACATTACATTATGATCTAATATTAGCTTATTTCTAATAATCAAGGGAATTTTGTACTGGGTTAGCACATCACCATAATTGATTCCCCTTTCCCCCAACAGCAAGATACTATGGACTTGTCTACACTGGTGAAGAAAAAATAGTTTTAGGTGCGTTGTATATGCAATATAACACTGTGACACCAGATGGCGCTGTGGAGTCCTGTCTTTCCCTATCGGATTTTCCTATATGAATTTACAATGCATTTAACTGAATCACTTCTTTGACATGTCTAAATCTAGCCCCAGTCCTTGTACAACATTCTAACTATTAAAGCACCCTACAACTCCCATCAACCCCAGTATACCTGAAGGAGCATCCCCACCCCCATTGTTCAACCCGGACACTGAGGTCCAGCACCAAGGGCCTTCTGGCAGTTCCCTCACTGCAGGAAGTGAAGTTACAGGAAACCAGACAGAGGGCCGTCTCTGTAGTGGCACCCGCCCTGTGGAATGCCCTCCCATCAGATGTCAAGAGAATCAACGACTATCTGACTTTTAGAAGACAGCTGAAGGGAACCCTATTAGGGAAGTTTTTAACGTTTGATGTTTTATTGTGTTTTTAATATTTTGCTGTGAGCCACCCAGATGGGCAGGGTAATAATAATAATAATAATAATAATAATAATAATAATAATATTTTATTTATACCCTCCCTGGCCAAGACCAGGCTCAGGGTGGCTAACGCCAAATATAAAATACAGTAAAAACGTTAAACAAACAAACAAACAGTTTATTAAAATATACGTTAGAATACAGCTTAAAATACAGCTTAAAATGTAGCCTCATTGTAGTGGTAGCCCATAGCTCAGATTATTATTATTATTACTCACAATGGATGATGCTTAGAGATAGTGAGAGTTATCATTCAGCAGCTTATGGAAGGTCACAGACCCTCTGTTCCTCAATAACAATCACCACCACCACCCAACGTTCTTTGGCTGATGTGCTTGTGCCTCTATATCTTTATATAGTGACAAACATACCGTGATCAACAAAGTGATCAACATTTTACCTTTTACCCATATAGTGATGATCAGCTGGGACCCACTGATCTAGGGGGATGCATCTACTTGTGGGTCACAAATAGTTGCACAATTGCAGATGCTGCCATGGGTGGGGAATTATCCAATTCTTGTGTCGCTTTGGACACACACACTCTTGCACACGAAGGTTGGTTTGAACATCACGCCCAGTTCGACACGGAATGAATCTTCCTTCTTCTTCGCTCAAATATATGTATGTCATTGAAAAGTGGGGAGGGGGGAGCCTAGCTGTTTGCTTTGTTCTGGACTTGTGATATGCTTGGAATGAATTACTTAATATCGAACTATTGGGACTAAGACGCATGTGGTACCATCTGCCTGATTTGTTTCCTTTCACTCCAGGGACAGAGCAAGTCTAAAGCTGCAGTGTGAGATAGCCAATACAAGGCTCGGCCAGCTATCAATTCCCTGCCACAGGTGTTGATGTGGATAAAGCCTCTCTGCGGCCTACTCTCCAAATGTAAGGTAACTTAACTTTGAAGTATTGAAATCTGCTTCCCTCCCTGTCCTTGCTGCAGCTTCGAGCTATTTCCGTTGTCTGGCTTAGGGCACAGGACCTTGGAGTTCTTTGGAAGTACAGTGGTACCTCAGGTTAAGTACTTAATTCGTTCTGGAGGTCCGTACTTAACCTGAAACTGTTATTAACCTGAAGCACCACTTTAGCTAATGGGGCTTCCTGCTGCTGCCGTGCCGCCAGAGCACGATTTCTGTTCTCATCCTGAAGCAAAGTTCTTAACCTGAAGCACTATTTCTGGGTTAGCGGAGTCTGTAACCTGAAGCGTATGTAACCCGAGGTACCACTGTATATCAGAATGTTCCTCAGTAAGATCAGGAGCATGGATGTAATCAGGGGAGGGCTGCCCCCCCCAAAAAAAAATCAAGTAAAAAAAAATACTTAACTAAAAGTAGACATTGTAGAAAGATTTTGACAGATTTTTCTGAGCACTTGGGGGGGGGGTCAAAAGAAAATAATTTAAAGCAACCTGTTGGGACGTCTCATTTTGAATGAGGATGATGACAGGTGGGTGTTTGCACTCCCCACAACATAAATCCTAGCTGCTTCCATGTTCAACAGTGGAGGAAAAGTTGTCCAAAATCTTAGATTGATTGAGATCTCAGTTCTGCAGAGAGGTAAATACCTTGGAGTACACAGGAGGATGTGGGAGAATAGCCTAGCAGCCTCCCACAGCACTGAGGTGCTCAGACTAAAGGATCAAACTGGGAGCTTTATATGAAGGAGTGGCATAAAATTGGCTTTCTGGAAGCATCTGAACAGGAGGATTCTGAACTGTCATCATGTCCTGGCTTGCCTCCTCTGTGCAGTGGTTCCAATACCTTGTTACAAATGTAATTCTTAAATGACCAGATCACCTGGTTTAGCTCCAGAGAACCTGGCACCAGAAATGTGCAATTCTGTACGTCTATTGAGGGGAGGGAGGAATCCATTTGAGGTCAATGGAACTTACTCCCAGTCCGAGTGGTTGCGTCTCAAAACCCTCAAACCAACCCCCCATTAGCATAAAGAAATTCACACAGACACAGAATTTTTGTTGAAGGTTATTTGGGATTTTTTTTGGCCACAACTTTATTGATTACAGGAAATGTGAGCGGTATTGGCTTAGGCATTGGCAAGACTATATCTGTCTCCTGCCCCCTTTGCAGGAAGTTTGTAAGGGTAAACCACCCAAAGGGAAACTGCTTCGTGGGAACACGCCTGCATCTCCCCCGGTGTTCCCAGAGGCCTGGCATGGCCCTAGCCCCTCAAGAGGACTTCAGACAAGATCCAAGCTCCGGATTCCTTTAACGGAATACCCTTGAAATGGAGGGGCAGGTGATGGCTGACCTCCCCTCCCCAACTCAACAATAAGCCAATGCCTAACCGCCAAACCTTACAAAGTTGTGACGATTGCTAAGGGGTAGGCAAAAACCAAGTGGCCCATGCCAATTCACCAAATGGAAAAATTCCTACCCGGTCCCTGACCCAAGACGGGCAACCAACCGAAGTCCAAAGTGAGGCCAAAGGACACTTAAATTAAAGGGAGGGTGGGTGGATGTTCGGCAGCGCAAAGCAGGTGCTTGGCAGGCGAGAATTCTACCACTGAACAACCAATGCAGATGGCATCATTTTTTATCCTGGTCTGTGACCTTAATAAAGTTCATTCAGGTGCTTGGCACACGTCGCACTGCCACTTTTATACATTCCCCCCATGATCACCCATTCAAATTGATTGGGCAATAGCCCTGGGTGATCATAGTGCCACCCTGGCATGAGGGTGATGGCTCCACCCACGCCGGGTTGGGGGGGACCGGGTTGAGGGCGTGCCCGCAACCAGGACGATCTATTAAGATGATCCCACTTATAGGACAAAAGCAAAGGACCCCTGGATGGTTAAGTCCAGTCAAAGTCAACTATGGGGTGAGGAACACATCTCGCTTCAAGCTGAGGGAGCTGGCATTTGTCCACAGACAGATTTCTGGGTCATGTGGCCAGCATCACTAAACCGCTACTGGCACAATGCAACACCGTGACAGAAACCAGAGCGCACGGAAATGCCGTTTATCTTCATGCCACAGTGGTACCTATTTATCTACTGATATGCTTTCGAACTGCTAGGCTGGCAGAAGCTGGAGCAGAGCAATGGGAGCTCACCCCATTGCATGGATTCGAACAGCCAACCTTCCAAGGCTTGGTGGTTTAGATCACACCCTAACATATGTAATGTTTGTAGCCTTAGTGATAACAAAGGGTGCTTCAGCAAACTTGTCGGCTTGATTTCTGACCCATACACCATATTCCGGAAATGTAGAAACTTTTCCCCAAGCTGTGCTTTGTTTGAGTTACTGTCTGTGGAAAAATCAATCAATCAGCCAATGCTTGTGGAAGCCAGTCAGATGTTTTAAAGAGAGGAGGATGATACTGCTTTAAATGTATAGCACATATAGAGTCTTGTAAGGACGTGCAAATGTTGGTGGCTGGGATATCACCACAGCTGCCCTCTACTCCAAAAAGCAAAAACAAAACAAAATGACTAAAAATTGGAAGGTGTACCCATGCTTTCGATGTTTTCTCACTTGATCTAAACATCATGGATAATAACTGTGCTTTCATGGTGACTTGTTTGTTTGTTTGCTTGCTTGCTTGCTTGCTTGTTTTAAAAAAAAATGGAAAAGACTCCTGCAACATATACCTCACTGCCAAGTATCGTTGGGAAGAATTGTTCAGATTCTCTCCTTAGCAGCCACAAGGAAGTTCTTGAGGGGTGTGTGTGATGCAGTTACTTAACTTAAGAAGCTAAGTTTGGCGTCTTTATTCTGCTCCCACATTACGAGAGATAGCTTTTTAAATGAAAAGTTAAGACTTTGAAAGCAGCCAAGATTTTCTGTCGAGTGGGATGGGAAGACCCGTGGGAAAACTGATTATAAAACTTTGACGGCATTTGCTGCTGAAGGCACTGGAAATATCTTGAAGTCATTATCGATGCTGTGCGAGGGCTATGCGCAGGAGAGGGTGAAATTGTTTTAATGAGTTTTGAACTCATCTGGATGGCACCAGTACTATTTAATATTCATTTGCCAGAGTGGGCTTTGTGAATCTCACACTGCTGAATTTTCAAAATCGCCCAAGGGAATGTCCTAGGGGAAAGAGATGCTAGCTTTTCCCTGGGATACTCCCTATATTCCCAGTGTGTTCTTTTCTTTTTTGCATTTTTTACCCTATGTTTGTATAAGGACTTCGGTGTGGCATATATCTATCCACTCATCCTCCCATATTATCAATGTAAGAGGGAGGTCAGATGAAAAGAGGATCACTTACCTAAGGACACCCAGTAAGCTTCATAGCTGATCAGAGATTTGAACCTGAGTTCTAGATTAACTCTATATTCAATACACCAGTGGTTGCAACCTGTTGGAGCCATTGGGCACACTTGGAATATGGAGGAAGTGCTGTGAGTGCCAGTCACAAAATGGCTACCCCAGGGTGTGTGGCATAACACAAAATGGCCACAACATCTAAAGGAACAGTAAATAATGGATCACAAAATATGCTGGGCATGTCCCCACCCTCAGCCAATTTTCCTCTAATCAGAGCAGAAGGGAGGGAGAGATGGTGTCCAGTTCTGGCCCTTTCAAATGCCATGTTTTAGGGAGTATGTTCAATGTAGGAGAGGCCAAGCCAGTGCAAAGAGGAATGGAATAGGGAGAATAAACAGTCCCTTGTGCATTGCAGACTGCTTAGAGGACATTTACGGAGACCTTTTGTGGGTTCCACAGAAGGGAGTTGAGGTTACACAGTAATCTGCAATGTGCCATGTTGTTTGTAGTTGTGTATTCCTGCCTGGAGCCATGAGTGTACAGAGAAACTACATGCAGCGAGGATGCTAAATGACAAGTCAGGGAGTACAGCTTAGTAGCAGGGAATGTGCCTTGTGTACAGATGACTCTCCATTTGGATCCCGGAATCTCCTGTAAAAAAGAGTGACGGAATGGGTGAAGAGGAAAAACCTCATACTGAGATACTAGCTGCTGAAAACAGCCGGAGGGGAGACTGCTGTTGTGCTTAGGTCTTACTTCAGGGTTCCTTATGGGCTTCTGAGAACAGGATGCTAGGCTAAATGTGCCTTTGGCTTAACTCAACAGGCTCCAAAGCGTGTTTTCATTAATAGAGAGCACGTGTTGTGGTGGGGTCTGGAAGGCCACCCCTCTGTTCCTGGGTGGGTTAGTTTGGATGACCATCTGCAGTGATTTGGCGGTTGGGTTGTTGGGCAAATTTTGGTGTTGCCATTTAGGGCGTTGGACCAAAGATTATAAAATGAAGTCACGCAGCTCTGACTAGGCACTTTTGCTGTGTGCACCCTCCCTGAAATGAGGGTTATTTCGCTTGACCTTGCTATGCCTGTCATGAGGTCACCTACTTTGGGGGCAGGGGCCTGGTAGGAATTTTGTCCAATTGGCTGATTGGCTGGTGCCATTTGGTTTTTGCCTACTGCATAGCAAATTGTCACAACTTGTAAGGTTGCGGTTAGGCATTGGTTAAAAAATTGGTTGGTGGAGGGGTAAGGATTGGCGGTGCCTGCCCCTCCAATGCTGCTGCGGAAAGGGAATTCCATTAAAGGAATCCAGGGCTTGCCATTCTTTCGTCTGTACCCCTGAAGGAGGCTTAGGGCCATGCGAGCCCCAGGGAGCGGGGGGGGGGTGAGGGTCTGGTGCCCAGCTCCATGCTCTCCCCAATATTGTTTTCCCTTACTGGCTTTCGCTGGAACCCGGAAGTCAGTTCTGTCCCTGGGCATGGGGATAGACAGTCATAACCAACGCCTAAGCAACCACTCACATTTATGTATTTTAATAAAGTTGTGACCAAAATTATGCCAAAAACCTTAAACTGTGGATGCAGGGCATAGGCATCATGACTAGTAGCCATTAATAGCCTCGCCCTCCATGAATTTGTCTAATCCTCTTTTAACGTTGTTGGTCTGTGGGAGCAATTTCCACCGCTTAACTATATTCAGCATAAAGAAGTACTCTATCTGTCCTGAGCTTTCTAACATTCAGCTTCATTGCCTGCCCATGAGGTCAAGAGAGGAAGGAAAACTTTTTTCTCATGCCATGTGTAATTTTATAAACTTCTGTCATGTCACCTCTTGATTGCCTTGTCGCTAAACTAAAAATTCTCAAAATCTGAAACTTTTCCTCACAGAGTTTCACTCCATCCCTTTGATCATTCTGGTTGGACTTACGCTAATCTTTTCTGACTTCTATCATGTCACTTCTTACTTGCCTTGACTCTATGATATCTTTTTTTTCAGGTAGGGAGATCAGAATTATACACAGTATTTAAAATGTGGTCTCGCCATAGATTTGGATAATGGCTTGAAGTTAGCGGCATCTTTCCTAATGATTCGCAGGATTTCCCTTTTTCACACTGAGTCAATATCTTCATCGTGCTGTCCTCTATGATCCCAAAGCTTTATTTCTGGTCAGTCGCTGGCAGTGAAGAAATCATGTGCATTTATGTTAACTTGAGGTTTTTTTTGCCCCAACACATGTGACTTTACACTTGTTTATACTGAAATGCATTTGCAGTTTTTCTTCCCATTCTCTCAGCTTGGAGAGTTTCTTTTGGAGCTCCTCATAATCTCTTTTTGTTTAGCAAGGGTGAGCAAAAAATAAGGCTAATGTGGTTGAGAAACCACATTTTACCTCTTTGCTTTCCTTCTCCACGGCCAAAGTTTGTTCACCAGTCACCATCTGTTTGTAATTACAGTACAAGACAATAGAGTGAATCCACTCACCCAGGAGAGAGAGAGAGTGTGTGTGTGTGCAATGCCAATGTTGCCCTTCCAGCAGTTTGCTGTTCTGCTCCACAACAAGCATTTGTGAAAAGATTGCTAACAGTTGGTTTTGTACTTTGCAGCAAAACAAGCAGGTGTGCTGACCCTGTTGCATCATTGATGATTTCTTTTAAAGCCCAATGAGAGAGCACTTTGTCTTCAGAATACCACATCATCACAACCAAAGGTGCTGAGCCCAAGAGCTATCCTCACACTTACCTTAGCCAACGCTGCTCCCATCCTTCAGTGGAGGTGAATTTGCAGCACCCCAACTCCCCTCAAGGGTGGCGCTGTGGGTTAAACCACAGAGCCTAGGACTTGCCGAACAGAAGGTCGGCGGTTCAAATCCCCACGACAGGGTGAGCTCCCGTTGCTTGGTCCCTGCTCCTGCCAACCTAGCAGTTCAAAAGCACACCAGTGCAAGTAGATAAATAGGTACCGCTCCGGCGGGAAGATAAATGGGGCTTCCGTGTGCTGCTCTGGTTCGCCAGAAGCGGCTTAGCTGTACGCCGGCTCCGTCGGCCAATAAAGCGAGATGAGAGCTGCAACCCCAGAATCGGTCACGACTGGACCTAATGGTCAGGGGTCCCTTTACCTTTAACTCCCCTCAAAAGAAGACTCAGGTGGTTTGACCCAGAGGAAGATTGAGAATAGGCACATTGGGGGGCAAAAGGTCAGTCAGGAAAAAGGAACAGGCTTTATAAGCTGGTTTCTCCCCAAACCTTCCAGTATTTTTCATTGTACTGCCCTCCCTCCTTCCCTGCCTTTGTAGGATGGACTTTGCTAGTTCCTTGTTCAGGGGCTGAGTAAGAATTTCTGGAGGGGACCCTGATTAGCCTTGGGCTTCCTCCCTCCACCACACCTACTTCACACTGTTGGGAGTTCTTGTTTCTTTGGAGGGGCATTTTATCCTTTTAGTTCAGGCAGGAAAGAGAATTTTGAGAACTGGTTGGAAATTACCTGAGGCATTTTGGGATTTAAGACACTCTTGGGTCACCTTTCAATGCCTTCTCTGTGGGAGCTGTTGGGCATTGGCCAGCGGGGCAAAATGCACTTGGCAGGTTCACATGCCCAAGGTTCTCATACCAAAGAGGAAGAATTTCCTTCCATTCTTTTTTCTGAAGAGGCACATGTGCAGAGGTGGATTTAGGAGAGCATGACCAGTTTGGTCACAATGGGCACAGAGCCTCGGGGGTGCCACAGGGGGTGGCACAACTATAATCTAGAAAGGAGCACAAGAGGTGTTTTTTAGGGGGGTGTTGCTGAGTTGTTTTTAGAAACCATCTGTGTAAAGTTAGTCTTCCATACTACTTTGTCATTGTTTAGTCGTGTCCGACTCTTCGTGACCCCATGGACCAGAGCACGCTAGGCACCCCTGTCTTCCACTGCCTCCAGCAGTTTGGTCAAACTCATGCTGGTTCCATACCACTTTACTATGCCCTTAAAGTGTGGGCCAAACTGGATGTTACAGTAGGAGATCTGTGATGATTTATAAACAGTAATAGCAGCCTGGGGTGGGATAAATTATTATTATTATTTATTAATTGAATTTATATACCGCCCTATACCCGGGGGTCTCAGGGCAGTTCACAAAATAAAATCAAGATATAAAACTACAAAAATACCTAATAAAAATAAAAACAACCCAATAGCCCACCCACCCTCCTCCCACAAAAAAAACAACAACACATTTTAAAAGGGCATAGGGTGTAAATCGGATCAACCAAAGACCTGGTTAAAAAGGAACGTTTTCGCCTGGCACCTAAAGGTGTATAATGAAGGCACCAGGCGAACTTCCCTGGGGAGAGCATTCCACAGATGGGGAGTCACTGCAGAGAAGGCCCGTTCTCATGTTGCAACCCTCCAAACCTCTCGAGGAGGAAGCACACAAAGAAGGGCCTCAGAAGATGATCTCAGGATCTGGCTAGGCTCATATGGAAAAAGATGGTCCTTGAGGTATTGTGGTCTTATGGTACTATGGACTATGGTACATGGGAAGGAGTTTCACTGTTTCTCCAGTGCTCCTTTCCCAATAAAAATCACCTCAAAGTGGGGGACAACTCTAGAAAACTCTAGGTTGAAGAGCTAAGAGGAATGGTAAGGACCATTATCAGGGGGATCAGTGATTTAATCCATGCTATATAGGACCTTAGGGATGCGGGTGGTGCTGTGGGTTAAACCACAGAGCCTAGGACTTGCTGATCAGAAGGTCAGCGGTTCGAATCCCCACGATGGGGTGAGCTCCCGTTGCTCATTCCCAGCTCCTGCCAACCTAGCAGTTCGAAAGCACGCCAAAGTGCAAGTCGATAAATAGGTACCGCTCCGGCAGGAAGGTAAACGGCGTTTCCGTGCGCTGCTCTGGTTCGCCAGAAGCAGCTTAGTCATGCTGGCCACATGACCCGGAAGCTCTACACCGGCTCCCTCGGCCAGTAAAGTGAGATGAGCGCCGCAACCCCAGAGTCGGCCACGACTGGACCTAATGGTCAGGGGTCCCTTTACCTTTACTATATAGGACCTTAGCACATCGTGACTGAATGCCAGGTAAGGTAGAAGGCATTATTTAGGTGAAAAATCTTCAACCAACCTTCCCCAAATCTGAAGGCATATGAGGTAATCACTCCACCATCTTTACCAGAAGTAAATTAATCCATAATTTGGGTATCCATGTGCTGCTAAAACAGTCATGACTTAGGTCTGTGGAGAGTCTTTTAATGTGTCTCCAGTGGTAAAGAGTTTCTCAGATGAAAAGAACAACCCAGAGCACTTCTTGGTCTGCCCTTATATCCTATCTTGGTGCATGGGGAGCATTGCTAAGAGACTACTTGTCCTTGTCCTTTGCCATTGCTATTGTGATGACACTTAAGGGTAGCACCAGCCTTTCTCCAATATGTCGGATGCTGTTTGCTGGGATTTTCTAAACATAAATCATATTTAATTATCAAATTCTCTAGCAGTTCCAAGGAAGCTAAATCACAGGTTTGGGTGGGTGCTTCAAAATACGTACCTAAATAACCTCATCCTTGTGATTCCAGTAGGAAAACACTAAAATACATATAGGAAGGAAATCTAAATAATAGAAATGCTTTTAAGTAGACTGAAGGAAAAATAGAAGAATCCATTGCTCTACTGAAGCACACTTATTTTGTTCCATTTGCTACTGTTTTTATGAAGCCATTTCCGAAAGTCATTTTGACATTCTCTTTGAATGCTTCACGGTATTCAGTCCCCTGCTATGGCATGTTTCTGCTTAGTTCCAGCCAGCCGTTCAGAGAGCCCTTATCTCATTGCATCTCTGAAATAGCATGTAGGAGCTGTAGGGCTTGCCTTTTATGTTCAGCACGATAAGAAGGGCAAAGCGCCACGGAAGCTTTTGTACCCTAAATCTTTCTCCTTTCATTAAGGGGGGAAAATCTGTCTCCTTCTTTATCTGCACTTCACCATTCTCTGAGAGAGACACAAGTGTGATTGTCTGACATTCAAGTTGATTTCCCCACCCCTAAGAGCCTAGCATCCCCAGGACTGTCCATGCTTCTGAACTCTTTGTAATAATGACTCTGGATTTGTGGTATCAGAAGTGACAATGATGGGCCCTCCTAGCGTTCCTAATTTCCAGGGACAGTGCCGGATCTACAGAAGCCATCCCGGTTTCTGATTTGATTCCAGAATGTCCCACTTTTGCTAAGGACGTCTCTATTTTCATCAGAAAAATGTTGGACGGTATGGTAGGACATCCCTATTTTCATCAAAGAAATGTTGAGCTAAGGAGATAAGTAACTATACAACTTTTAGAAGACATCTGAAGGCAGCACTGTATCGGGAAGGTGTTTTTTTTTAGTGTTTTATTTATATATATATATATTTTGGAAGTTGCTCAGAGTGGCTGGGGCAACTGAGTCAAATGGGTGGAGTATAGATAATCATGTTGTTGTTGTTGTTGTTGTTGAATAGGACATCCCTTTTTTCATCTGCGCAGCCCCATGCCACAAAGTCTATGCCTATCACCCATATCACACATTAGGGTATATATAAATATATTGGCGGCTCTATATACATGACATGGGGCTGTTCTTTTCTGCCATACAGGTGACCTGGAGAATACTAGAAGGGTGTTCTAAGTCTGGGCTTGGGCCAAGCAAAAGCTATGGTTAGGCAAAGAATTATAGACACCGAGAGACAACAGGACTGTTTAAGGTGCTCCGATTACAAAATTGTAGAAATCACTAGCTATATAGCTGCTCCAGCAGCATACCTCTTTTTTCTTGTATCCAAAAATGCAAGAAGGGCTTTTAAATTTGCCAGAAGCTCGGCTCTGCCCTCGCCGGTCTTGGAAGGATCCTTTAGAAAAGTCCCATTTGACCAGAGAATTTGTGCCTGTCCATTGGGGGATATAGGAAGCCCTGAACACATATTTTTTAGATGTCCCTTTCACGATGAGGCATGTAGAGAAATCATTGACCCCCTGCTGGTGAGGCTTGCTGACCTCTCGGTAAAGCAAAAATTTGATCTTCTGTTAGGCAAAGACCACAAGACGACCCAGATTGTGGCCAGATTCTGCGCACAGATCTCTAGGCACAGACCATCCCCTGATTCAATCTAGTTTGTTAAGAAAATTCCCAAACTCGGATCCATGGGCGACTCTGGGTCATTTCTCTAAGGTAGTCTATCTTAAAGTTTTTATGTGTTTATACGCCTACCACACTTTTAAACTAAAAATCCATTGTTGTATATTGTTTTAAATGTTTGTTTTGCTATTGGGATTGTAGTTCCATTTGTGTTTCACAAGCTGGTCTCTGACCGTAATAAATTTCATGTTCATGTACTAAAAGGGTGAGGTTGGGGCTTGAGCCATTTACAGTAAATAGATCTTCAGAGCCTGATTTGGAGGCTCAGCCTATCAATGACGTTCATGGCTACAACCCACCTTTAAGGATGAAAACAGCAGAAAGTAAGTGGTCTAGTGTTGCCTGCTAGCCTTCATTTTAAGAGCAGTACCAGATTTGCATATAAGCTAAACAAGCTATAGCTTAGGGCCCTGCTCTCTTGGGGCCCCCCAAAAAGCTGAAGGAGAAAACAAACCTGGATGTACATTTCCAAAATATAAGATAAAAAACAAATAAAATAAAACCGGCATACAGCAGCAATGTTTTATGTTGTGTAGGCGACTATGATGTAGGTAATGGGCTCCACCTGCTAGCCTGCTCCCTAAAATATCACTGGTTTGCTCATTTCTGTATATAGGGTGCCTACATTCTGCATGGACTGGTTGCATGGCAACATGGGCAAATGGCTTTAGATACCTATTAGGTCTATAAAATACCATATAGCATATATTCAACACAAAAAAGCAACAATTTGTTGTTGACAAAGGACAGCTGGACATCTAAAGAGCCCCATTACCTTCAGTAGCTTAGGGCCTCATCAAACCGAAATCCGGCCCTGTTTAAGAGTCATGGCCCAATACCTAATACTGTTGAATATTTTGAAAATTTACAAAGGTAAAATTGGGATCACTTGTCCCGCCCACTTTTTTATCTCAGGCCCCACCCATCACTGTCACGAGGCACCTAGATATTTGTCCACAGGCTGAGAAAATGTTCTGCAGCCCTGCCCTAATATAAAGACATTGGAACACGACTGCTCCACAAAATCCACACAATATCCATTTCTAAAGAGAAATAATTACTTTTCTTCCCATTTTGACCCTGCAACCTCTATCTATTGGGTTATTTTCAAACCTAAAGTAGGGATAAAGCAGATAAAGGGTCACTATTTATTATAAACTAAAGGGAGTTAATCGGCTTCTCTAAATTAAACCTACAGGAAGATACATTTAAGTATCCCAACTGTGAATTTCAGAAGAGCATTGCAAATCATGCTGCATTTTATTTGAAGAAAATAAGTAAAATGTGTACATAGAGGTATGAAATCATTGACAAGGTTAGTCCTTCCCTGCCTGCCTACTACTGAGCAAACAAATGGGAGAATAAATAGTAGGGCTCCCCTACGTCCAAAAGCTTTGCCCACCCCCTCATTAGCTCAACTGCTTTTACTTGAGTAGTTGTAAGAAAGATGGATGAATCTATCCACTTCCAGCCTGTGATAATTTTGTATTTAACTATATCTTCTCCATAATTACGTTCCATTCAATTTATTCATTAAATTCTTTTTTAAAAAAGCTTTTCAAAATACAAATTACAAACATAAGAAGAAGCCTACTGGATGAGACCAGTGCTCTTCCTAGTCCTATATCCTGTTTTTCACAGTAGCCAACCAATTGTGTATATTTAAATTGTCCAGAACATTCAGAGAACTGCAAAATCCAAGTTGTAGCTGTTTTGATCCACACACGTTTATCTATATCTGTTAAGGGTAGCATAAATTGAGTGGTTAATCTGGGCAAATGAGCACATTATCCAGTTTCCAAGAAACATCCCCCCCTCCATTCTTGTTTAGAAGTGTTTGATCCAGTCCAGTCCAGTGCTTCTGGCCCACTGCCTAATCTTGTTGTTGCTTAGTCATTTAGTTGTTTCCGACTCTTCATGACCCCATGGACCAGAGCACGCCAGGCACTCCTGTCTTCAACTGCCTCCTGCAGCTTGGTCAAACTCATGTTCGTAGCTTTGAGAACACTATCCAACCATCTCGTCCTCTGTCGTCCCCTTCTCCTTGTGCCCTCAATCTTTCCCAACATCAGCGTCTTTTCCAGGGAGTCTTCTCTTCTCATGAGGTGGCCAAAGTATTGAAGCCTCAGCTTCAGGATCTGTCCTTCCAGTGAGCACTCAGGGCTGATTCCCTTCAGAATGGATAGGTTTGAGCTTCTTGTAGTCCATGGGACTCTCAAGATTCTCCTCCATCACCATAATTCAAATGCATCAATTCTTTGGCGATCTGCCTTCTTTATGGTCCAGCTCTCACTTCCATGCATCACTACTGGGAAATCCATAGCTTTAACCATACGGACCTTTGTTGGCAAGGTGATGTGTGGTGTAGTGGTTAAGAGCGGTAGTCTCGTAATCTGGGGAACCGGGTTCGCGTCTCCGCTCCTCCACATGTAGCTGCTGGGTGACCTTGGGCTAGTGACACTTCTCTGAAGTCTCTCAGCCCAACTCACCTCACAGAGTGTTTGTTGTGGGGGAGGAAGGGAAAGGAGAATGTTAGCCGCTTTGAGACTCCTTCGGGTAGTGATAAAGCGGGATATCAAATCCAAACTTTTCTTCTTCTTCTCTTCTTCTGCTTTTTAAGATGCTGTCTAGTTTTGTCATTGCTTTTCTCCCAAGAAGCAGGCATCTTTTAATTTCATGACTGCTGTCACCTAATCTTACCCAACCCCAATATGCCCTCCCACTGGTCAACCAAGCAGCAAGAAGAAGAAAGAGGGGCTTCAGATAAACATAAGTTGTCCTCCCCCCCCACCGCCCAAAACCAAGTTCTGTTCCTTTTTTACCATTCCCGGCTGCTCCCCAGTTAGCTGAGCAGCGCAAGTAGGATTTTATGGAGAAGAAAGTTTTAAACCTCCCAGCCCCTCATACAATACAGATGGAAACTCCCGTCCCCCATACGGCTATAAAGTTTAGGGGGAAGGCTGTTGGAGATTATGCATAATAGCCAGCAAATGTATATAATTCAGTCCCATTTCCCAAGGCCTGTTGGAGATTATGTATAATGACTGGGAAATGTGGACAATAACCTCTTCGTGGAAGGATTATGCACACATTCTCCCTGAGGCCTGGTGAATGTGCACAGTAGCTGGTTTAGATGTAGCTGGTTTACTTTTCTTCGAAAGAGCTCAGGGCAGCATACAACATTTTCTTCTCAATCTTATCCATAAAAAGAAAAGAAAAGAATGAATGATTTTTTTAAAAAAATTGTCAATGTGTGTGGCATTTCCATTTTGAGCTAATTTTTGCAAAGTCAAGATTTTCACCTCATGGCATAAGTGTGCTTTGGTCCCAGTTCAGATTCTTGTCCAACTTGCTTTTGCTGATAACGCTGACTATCTCTCAAAGGCTGGGCAAATACTCTTCCAACTCCAAAATTGCCTCAGTGTGCAACATCTGCCAGAACAACTCCCTTCCCCTCTTGTTCTCACATGTTCCTGGTAACAACTCTTAACAGTTCTCTCGCTTTGTTAGAAACAACTCAGCTGTGGTTGCAAATAAAATGTTGATGACTCTCGGATCCTGGCCTTAAGGCTTATGTGTATGTACTGCTTTGACTCCATCCATTCCACTTGGGTTAGAGCACGTAGATGAAATTCTGCTCAGAAAGTAGTGTTCACAGGATCTGGAGCATGAAATGTTTTATAATGAAACTCTTATCAGCGTTAAATTTATGCTTAGACTGACCTATCTCTGTCTACCATCCAATCATAAAAGTGCGGGCTTTTTTGTTTTTGTTCACAGGGCTTTCTTAAAGGGAAGAAGCAACATCACAAACAATTTAATGCAGAACAGAAAAAAATAATTTGCCGAAAAGTTAACACTTCCAGTGGAAATAGAAGATAAAAAATGTGGTCCATTGGCAATGGCAACAAACAGATGCTTCTTTCCCTTTAGATCTCTTTGTTCCGCTAAAGCTCATACATTCTTGCTGTCTGTAACGATTAATCATCAGAAGTGAATAACAGGCCCATTTCAATAAAAATCCAATATACAAAACAAATCACAGTTACGTAGCTGCCTATATGCAGGAGCTCCTTAATTTGACAACCATTGTGCAGCTCTATGTTCCATTTAATTAAAAGCTTAGTCAAACAGATCTGATTTCAGTTCAGTCAAAATTGCTATTTTGTATTGATGTATTTGATTTTTTAAGGGTATAATGAAGACGGGGTGCATAGTTGCTAAATGGCTTAAGCTTGATGAGCTCAATCAGAACTTCAGCATTACTAACAAAATAATATTCCTCTATCTTGCTGTCCAGAGAAGTCGATAAGAAATTATGCAAATAACACAGGCTTGAGCTGAAATGGAAATCATGCTGTAGCATATTAGTAGCGACAACAGCAATTTCCTTAGCTCCATTTGTGAAACATCCCCCCCCCCACTTGAAAAAGTGCTTTTGGCAATTTTGTAGCAGGAAAAGGCTGGGGCAGATATGCACATTCATCACAGGATGGCTTCAGCATCACGTGGTGACTTCAGTGTTAAAGGCAGAAATTTGAATGTTATCCATCAATTCAAGCACATTGTTTTCTTCAATGGAATTAAGTTCACAAATTCTATGACCAATCCCTTCAGAAGATTTGCTCCTAATTGTCCTCACAGCAACTCAAGTGGGGGAGCTCACATACCTACACGCTCCTGGACAATATACTTGCCCCATCCTTAAGAAATAAATAAAACTAATACAGTTGTACCTTTGAAGTTGAACGGAATCCATTCCGGAAGTCGGTTCAACTTCCAAAACCAAATCATGGCTTCTGATTGACTGTAGGAAGCTCCTGAAGCCAATCAGAAGCTGTAGAAGTCCCATCAGATGTTGGAGTTCCAAAAGAAAATTTGCAAACCAGAACAATCACTTCCGGGGTTGCTGCATTCAGGAACCAAAACATATGAGTTCCGGGGTGCTTGACAAACAAGGTATGACTGTATAAGAAATATCTGAGATGCACATGATAGACTCCCTGAAGCCCTTGAGATTGCTGCAATCCAGCAACAATGGGTCATCCACCGAGACCAGGCAACCCTAATGTTCCATCTCTGAAACTTAGTAGGTGTAGACACTCTTTGGAGAGAAGACTTCCTGCCCTTCTTCACCAATACACATTGCCCTGAGATTCTTTAAGGAAGGGTGAGATAAAATGTGACTATTCAATAAAACACTTGCGGAAAGGATCTAAGGGAGCCTTCAGAGTGGTGTTTAATTGCAAGTGTTTTCTGAAACATGTCCCTTGACATAATAATGGTGCATTAGTGATGGATTTGCTCTGCTTTGGTTTGTTCTGCAATGCTTTCCCAGTGCTACCACATTATTGCTCTCCGGAGAGGGGCTGTGGAGCAGCAGGAGGACAAAAATAAATCAAAACTTTTGTGGTATAAAAAGTTATGCAATTTCAGCAGGAAACTATGGGATATGCATTGATTGGAAAGGAAGCAGGGTGACAGCCCCAACACTTTCACAGGTGCAAATATTATTCAAAGGGAGATCAGGTATGACTGCCCAGATAGCGTTGTGAGCACAAATCATCATGAAAGCATAATAAAAAGGACATCAGTAGGGACCTTAAGTCAGTCTATAAGTTTTTCTGCTTAGTGAGTGAGTAGGAATTGCCATCAGGCTAGCAGAAGCCTAAGGGAGGTAATTCAGTGAATGCAATCCAGGATTAGAGGTTGGAAAATACAGAGACCAAGGCAATGGTACCAGTCTTCAAAAACAATTTATTTCATTTATGCAAGAGATCTCAGTCACACAACACATTCACACAAACTCTGCTGAAGTGTAGTTACCAATGATAAAAGGAGCAGGAGGCAGGGCTCACCCTCTTAAATAAATATTTGCAAAGGCTTCAACCCAGCAGTTCACAGAGATTTGCTCCCCCTCTTATACAGAAGCTGTAAGCATGCAGGACCTCTTTCACGTGGATACACAGCGAATGTTGAATGTGTGACCATTTTCTACAAATCACATTCTACTAATGTTGAATGTGTGTCCATGTCAAATATGCACCCACTAGCAGATATAATGAGTGGGCACATAGGGGGGCATGGTCAGTGGGTGAGTTCCCATCACCACCTCACAGGTTCCCTGAACGCAAGGGAGGTTTTGTGTGAATGGGACCAGTTTTCAGGAGAAACAGGAAGTGAGAGGGCACAAGTGTTTCCTGTTTGCTTTACAACACGGCCACATTCAAAACTGCTGTGTAGCTGTGTGCCCAGTAAAGTTGTGTCATTATTAAAGGCTTCTGTGATCTCTTGAGTCTTGAGGGCAATATCATAGCAGCAATCTATGACAGCTGCAATTTCCTTTTTGCCCCCAGTTGACCAAACCAATTGAAGTGGTTTGAGGAAGGACATCAAATTACATTTCAGAGATGACTCTTACCCCCCAGGAGCCTGGCCAGATTTTACACATCCAGAAATCCATGTTGGTGCTGATGAGGGAAATGGAATTTGGGATTCTTTATTTCCCACCCACCACATAGTATGTGAGCAGAATCAGAAATAGCTTCCAGTATTTGTTCAATTCCCTATACAATTTCCACCTCTCGTTTCTCAGTTCTCCTTTTTAGCTTGGAGAATCCATATATACATTTACTTCATGTTTGATTTTCTTTCCCCGTGCAGTTTCCTCACTTTCTGTACAATAATGTACTTTGTTTGATTAATGAAGGTGAAATTGCCTTAATTGACTCCATTTCAGATGTAAAGCTCTCATGGGATATATTTATGAGCTGTAAGCTCTTTTATGCAGCCTCATATCATGTTTCTACACTTAAAAGCTATCAGCATGGTTTTGGCATCAACTGGCATTTCCACTGAAGAGATGGCAGGAGAAAAATCAGTTCAGTGCAGACTGTTGCTAGGCTCCTATGAAGATAAACTTGTTCTGCTCTGGGTGCACAGCAGCATAAACATGGAGGGGAGAGAAAGAGAGAGAGAGCTCTTGTCTTTCCTTTACAGCACTATGGGATAGAAAGAAAGGCATGTGAGTTGACTTAACAGAGAATATATTTTAAGGATAGGAAAACTATAAATTGATATGGTGACAGATCTTAGCACCTCTTAGATCGAAGGTGTTGTAGTACAACAAATTTCTAGAGGGTCACAGGTTAGCACCTCTGATTTAGAGTGTTGAAATGACTTTGCATAAAGTAAAGGGTAAAGGGACCCCTGACCATTAGGTCCAGTTGCGGACGACTCTGGGGTTGCGGTGCTCATCTCGCTTTATTGGCCGAGGGAGCCAGTGTACAGCTTCCGGGTCATGTGGCCAGCATGACTAAGCTGCTTCTGGCGAACCAGAGCAGCACATGGAAAGGCCGTTTACCTTTCCGCCGGAGCGGTACCTATTTATCTACTTGCACTTTGTGCTTTCAAACTGCTAGGTTGGCAGGAGCAGGGACCGAGCAATGGGAGCTCACCCCATCACGGGGATTCGAATCACGACTTTCTGATCAGCAAGCCCTGGGCTCTGTGGTTTAACTCACAGTACCACCCGTGTCCCATTTGCATATAGTAGTTTCTTACAATCCCTACAACTGTGTAAGGTAGTTCAGCATTGTTATCCACATATTGAGGATGAAGGAGAGTTTCTTGCCTAAGGCTAGTTGGGATCATAGCTGTCAACGTTTCCCTTTTTTAAAAGGAAAATTCCCTTATTCCGAATAGGATTCCTCCCAAGAAAAGGGAAAAGTTGACAGCTATGGTTGGGATATTGGGTGGGATTTCAGTCTCTACCAGTGTAATTCTATACAAGTCTGCTCAGAAGACCCAAAGTAATAGATTTTTTCCACTCCCCATCACACAAAATTTGAGGATAATCTTCATGGATCTTCTCTCTAAAGCCTGGTAAAAATGTAGGTGAAAAGTATACAGGATGCAGAAAAAAATATTAGCAATATTCATTGTGTGAGGATTAAAATATTGTTAGCACTTTTCGTCGTAAAAGAAGAATTATGCTATCACTCTGATTGTCATATCAATGTCAGCTCCAAGTGGAAATGCCGCTTTGGGTACAGGCTGTGTGCAATTGTTACAATTAAAGCCCTGCTATTTTAAATATAAAGAATGGGTATAATCAAATGATCAGTTTAAAGCCTGCCAGCAGCTAGCCGGGGTACCTGCTATATGATATTAAATTAATTTGAATCAAAGCTTTTGCAGAGCCAGAAACTGTTGGATCTTCAGTTTGACATGATCTAATGTGTGAATGCCAAAAGCTTGACTTGGTGTGCTGTTAGAGCAGGAATTAATTGATGCTGATACAGATTATATGGGCGCACACAAAAAGAGGAGGAATGGACAATCTTTCTCAATAATAGATTGAAGTTGTGCAGGTGTATAATTGTATCTGGCATCCTGGCTTAGTGATGAGGATTGTTCTTGGTTCATGCTTGCTTGCAGCCATTTTAGATTAAGTGCAGTTATGGAGTGTACGTCAGATGGAAATGTTAACATAAGGTCTAATTCTGCTGCCTTTTCTCCAATTCACTTCAATTGGTTCGGTCAGCTAAAGCAAGATAAATGGGCAAAAAGGTAATAAGAAGTGAGTAAGCATGGAGCAGGGTTGTAAATACTGAGGACTCCTTCACACATTATGTTTTTCTACGCTTAAATATAGGAATCGTGTTAGGAAAATGATATGCAAAATTTTTTACCGAGGAGCATGGAAAAATGTACATGTTTATTTCAATGTCATTTGAAATGTATCATTCACTAACTGAGCAGATGTTTCACCAAACAGCTTGGGGTGAAGACAGAGGCAAAGTTGGTGTTGAGCAGTTCCAAATTCTCTCTGTCACCCAATAATATTTCTACAGCTTCTCCACATAGAGGACTTACTACTTGTTTGTACTTCGTTTTGCTTTGAACCTAGCCAAATAAACTTTTTGACAATTATTTTTAACCTCTCTTGCAAACCTGAGCTCATTCTGAGCTTTGGCCCACCTGGCCTTCTGCCTGCAACTATTGACTACTTGTGTATACTTTTCTTTCCCCTTTGTTGTATTTCTTATATTGGTCTCTTTAGCTGTCTCCTACTTTTACTTCTTGTTGGAATTGTCTGCATTTGTGCCTTCAACATATCACCTTTAAGCAGTGCTTTTTTCTAGGAAACTAAGTGCCTGTACTCACCAAGAAGTTGTTGCAGTAAGTGTTACACTTTTTAACAACAACAAAAAGAGGTGCCGGTACTTTGTACCCTTGAGTACCCCCTGGGGAAAAAGCACTGCCTTTAAGAAACTCCCATCCATCTTGGATTCCCTTCCCCTTTCTGACTGTCGGATCTCACCCAGTTGTTCTTGAAGCTATTTGAAATCAGCCTTATTAAAGTCCAGCGTGCGTGTCCAACTACACTTAGCTTTCCCTTTTCTCTGTATCGTGAAAAGCAAGAGAACATGATCAATTTCTCCCAAAGTACTTCCGGTACTTCCACTTTGTAAATCGATTCCTCATGGTTGATGAAGACCAGGTCCAAGATAGATGATCCCCTTGTTCCACCTTCTTGGAAATGAAATTCTGTATTAGGCAATGGAGGAATTTGTTGGACCTAACATTATTGACAGAGCTTGAGTTCCAAGAAATATTGGGTAGTAAGTCTCCCACGATTACTATGGCTCTCCTTTTTGAATTTTTCATGATCTGTTGTAGAAAGGCATAACATCCAAGTATTCAAACTGACTTGGAGGTCTATAGGAGTCACCCACAGTAAAGTCACTGTTGTTTCCCTTACCATTTTTAACCATACTTTACTCTGCCTTCAATGCTCCAGGTCATGGATCTCTTCCCAAATGGACACATACTTTGCATATAATGCTACTCCTCCTCCCTTCCTGTTTGGTCTATTCCTTTGGAATGGTTAACTCAACAGTAAGGCTGCAATCCTATACACACTTACAAACTCACCTGTTAATTGGGTCTTATTTGTTAGTTGCCATGCATAGGATTGCACCGCAAGTTGCATTTTGTTAAGCGGCACATAGGAAATTGTGTTTAGGATTGCAGAGTAAATGGGAGATTTCTTTCAAAAGAACATCTGTAACCAGCAGTAATGAAGCATTGTGTTACGTTTACTTGGGACTGTTATCGATCAGCTCCCTAAGCTGGTGCTACTCACAGAACTGGCTGCAGGGAGCCCATTAACCTTGCTCTTCTAAGGCCCCCCTTGGTGCTGGTCTGATTCTGATTTTGGTTGATAGTCCTAATGGAGTTGGATGTTCTCTTTCTATAAAGGACTTTTCCATGTACTATCACGGCACATTAAAGGAACTTGGTTTTTTGTTTACATAACACTGGTGATATTAAGGTACGCATAGGCAAGATAATAACATTAAGGTTGTAAACCATCCATATTTTATTTACTGGTGACAAAGACGTACTGTAGGGTTGTGCAGCAAGATTCAGCTTGAACCTCAATTCATTGTTGCTCTTGTTTAAAAAGTCTATCTTAATTCGAAGCACTTAGAGGGGCTGCCCTATTTATCACGGAATCCGAGACCAAATTCATTTTAGAAAAATGACGTGTCATCCCCTGTCCTGTTACTATGGGGATAGTCAGTAACTTTCCCCACTTTTCTAAAGGAAGCTTACAAAATATTTTAAATGCAATAAAATGCACAATGATACAATAGTATTTATCGCTTAATATTTTAAATCTCTGACTACAATTGGCATATATGATTTCCTTCCAATAAATGTCTACTACAGTCAACACCTTGAATCCCTAATACCTCCATTTTGGAATGTTTCGGCTCCCAAACGCCGAAAACCCAGAATTAAATTCTCCGGTTTTCAAATGTTTTTCGGAAGCTGAATGTCTGAAGCGGCTTCCGCTTGAGTGTAGGAAGCTACTGCAACCAATAGGAAGACACACCTCGGCAGGAAAGCAGCAGAAATATAGATGTATGGACTCCGGCCAATCGAGAAGCATGGGTACCCCCCCACAAAAAATTATAATCCGGAAAATAATTGGATTTTATGATGTGGATTGATATAATTTGGACTAGTTGGTATGATATGTGTAATTTGGTAACTTAATAAAAATCATTTAAAAAGAAAAAGAAAAAAAGGAAGACACACCTCGGTTGTCAAACACGTTGGAAGTCGAATGGGCTTCCGGAATGGATTACATTCAACAGCCAAGGTTTGACTGCATACTTATTACTGGGTGGGTGGACAGGTCTTTCCTGAAGTAACCGAGTGATAATAGCAGCTATTCTTAAAAAAATAATTTTGTGTTGCTTTATAGGGATGTGATGTCTACTTGTTACTTTGCACGATAACCCACTCTGGTCATTGAAATGGATAACCTGCAGCCATAATGTCCCAGCCAGATGGGCGGGGTATAAATAATAAATTATTATATTATTATTTTAGTGATGTGTTTTCCATCAGCCTACTAGGTGGAGAAACAACTAATTGAACACTTTGCCATAATAAAAAGAAGGTGCTTGATATTTTGCTTGGTCACATCCACAACACACATCTAAAGAACATTTAATATGCATGTTTTCCCCTTCCCACAAGAATTATGGGAGCTTTAACTTGTTAAGGATGCTGAGAATTTTAGCTCCATGAGGGGTAGATGATGATGATTAAAATTTGTATACTGCCATATACCCACAGGTCTCAGTTTCCCATATTCGTTGAGGGAAGCTAAGTGTTTTAAATGTATAGTAATACCTCCGTGAATGTCCGCCTTGTCTAGCATCCATTCCGGCGAACGTTCACGGCAAACCCAGAAGTACCGGAACGCAGACATGGCGCTTTGCCCTGTGTCCTTTTTGGCTAGTGGTCGGAGCTCTGGAACGGATCCCAGTCTCAAAACAAGGTACGACTGGACTATGTGCATGTGGCCAGTGGAATGGTAAGACCACAAATAAGTCATAGTAAATGACATGATGGGACAGAGGGGTTTACCCAGCTTCCCAGAAAGAGAGTTGCTTTTTCTTCTTGGGAGTGGGAGTGGTGAGGAGATGGTAAGCTCAGTGTGGTACAAACACACCAGTGGAGGCAATCCAGCATTCTTGCCAATGCATTTTCACTGTGCCAGTCTCCCTGCCACCTACTGCCTACTATCTCTCTGTCCTGGTAATCAGCAGTGGCTCACCTGAGGTCAGGTAAATATTTCCACCCCACAATGCCATCTGCTGCCGCCCATAATTTGTCATATTGAAATTGGCAACCCTATAATTAATTAGGCCTAAATGTGAGGCAAGTGAGAGACGTATCCTGTTTTGTTGGTTCATTTCATTCTTCTACAATTGATGGTTTAAATTTAGTCTATTTTCTCACTGACGTATGGTGAATTTTAACAACAACAACACAACAACAACAGGAGAACCTGTGTGTGGCAGTGGTAAGGGTACTGGCCTAAGGCTGTGGAAGCCCAGATTCAATTCCCTACTTCATCATAAACCTCACTGAGAAATCTTGGGCCAGTGTCAAGGAGCTGTCCAGCAAGCCCAGGTCATCCACAGGGCAGGAAGGAAAGGGAGGCACAGAATGCAATGTGTTTTCTATTAACAGAAAATAACTACACAGCAGAGTGCTCTGCCTTGTCTTTATTCAGCTGAGACATCCTGAAACTGACCACTGGCTCTGCCCTCCACCCTCTAACCTCTCACTCTGGATCCCTCCCAAGCAGACAAAGGCTGCGTCAAGGGGGTGGGCTCCTTCTCTGGACCTGTCTGACCCGTTACTTGGCAATGTGCAGGATACTCCTCAAGTAGGGTGTCAGAGGGAGTGAAGAGCCAGCAGAACTGGGACTGGCTTGCTGCTGGGTAGCAAGGGCAACCTCTGACTCCTCTCTGCCTGAGTTTGTGCTCACACTGTGACTCTCAGCCTCTAACCCTGTCCTGGAAGGCCTTCCTTCTCCTGACCCTTGATCATTCAACCCTTCTGCTTCGAGCACCTCCAAGCTTGTCCCTTCTGCAGACTGCTCTTTAGTGTCCCACCACCCTGACCCAGGATCTAAGTCATCATCTCTGTCCTCCTTGGGGAGCTCTTGGGTGGGTGGTCTGTACACCCCTTCCTCATTCAGTCAGTCCCTGACAACCAGTCACCATCAACCATAGCCCTCCCTGTAGAACGCCCTCCCACCAGATGTCAAAGAGAATAACAACTACCAGACTTTTAGAAGACATCTAAAGGCAGCCCTGTTTAGGGAAGCTTTTAATGTTTGATGTATTACAGTATTTTAATATTTTTTTTGGAAGCCACCCAGAGTGGCTGGGGAAGCCCAGCCAGATGGGCGGGGTATAAATAATAAATTATTATTATTATTATTATTATTATTATTATTATTATTATTACCTAGCCTATCTAAAAGGAGGTTCAAATCCCCGCAACGGGGTGAGCTCCCATTGCTCGGTCCCTGCTCCTGCCAACCTAGCAGTTCAAAAGCACGTCACAGTGCAAGTAGATAAATAGGTACCGCTCCGGCGGGAAGGTAAACGGCGTTTCTGTGCACTGCTCTGGTTCACCAGAAGCAGCTTAGTCATGCTGGCCACATGACCCGGGAGCTGTACGCCGGCTCCCTTGGCCAATAAAGTGAGTGCCGCAACCCCAGAGTCGGCCACGACTGGACCTAATGGTCAGGGGTCCCTTTACCTTTTATCTAAAAGGAGGAGATAGAACTATGCATGCTGCCTTGAGCTCATTGAATGAAATGCCAAATGTAAATGAAATAAATGCATAAATAAAATGATAGCACTGAACATCTGTAGAATGCTTTCAGTTGTTTAAAGTGCTCTGCATGTTTCATCCTTACAACAAGCCTGCAAGGCTTGCCAATATTTCTAGCTACCATATATTACAGTCAGGGTGAGGGGGCACTGAAAGGGGATGGCTTGTCATTGGCTTGTCTCAGATGGCCTAGGGTTGTATCTAATGCTAATCCCACTCAAAGTTATGGACATGACCAACAGGTTCATTAACTTTCATGTTTCTACTCTGAGTGTGGCCACTGTTAAATACAACCCCTAGTGGATTCATGGTAGAGGAGTGATTTAAAGCAGTGACATCCTGATTACCTTGTTAGCAACTAAGGAATAAATATAAGTGGAATAATAGAAATAGGAGGTGCTGGCTTTTTGCATGAAAATAGAGGGCATTTTCTTTTGGATCAGGTTGCTAACATCAAGGGATGTTGTAATATGTCAAACGTGATGCATCTGATCTAATGGTGGTGATGCTAATTAAAAACGCAAAGCAGTAAGTTGCTATCAAACGCATGATACTTGATCCGGTGACAAATTCTTGAAATATAATTTACTTTTTCTAATTAGCTAGGCTCCCAATTTTTTAATTACAAAATGTAATGCCAGATTTGGAAGAGGGAAAGAAATGGAGGTGCACAGGGCTCTAATTTGATTTACCATATCACAATATCTAATTATGGTGTGTATCTATTAACATATTTGCATCTGAATTTTACAATTGGATCATCATGCTTCTGACCCATGTATTGGGTCAAAGACTTACACATTTTTCTATGAATAATCTGGCCCTATTAACTATCAAATTCTGTCTGAGGACATCTCTATCACCAGGGACAAAAGAACTCAGACAGAAACTTATTCTTAGCTGTCAATGGGTGTTTGCATAAAATCAAGATGCTATGGATGTTGCACCAGTATGGTGCTACAATTAAATCTGAAGCCTAAAGTTTCAGTGTCTCTTCCCATTTCTTTTTTTGAGTCAGGCTTTTTAGATTCATAGAATCACAGAACCGTAGAGTTGGAAGGGACCCTGAGGGTCATCTAGTCCCACCCTCTGCAATGCAGGAATCAACTAAAGAGTCCATGATAGATGGTGTCAAAGGGCTGTCAGGAATGCAGGTTCATCCACCGGTCAGAAAGAGGAGACACGCAGTGCAATCAAGTTTAATTTACAAAAAGCAAAAACACAAGAGTTCATCTAGGCTTATATGCCCTAGTTCAGTGATTGTCAAACTTGGCCCTCCAGCTGTTTTGGGACTACAATCCCCATCATCCCTGACCACTGGTCCTGTTAGCTAGGGATGATGGGAGTTGTAGTCCCAAAACAGCTGGAAGGCCAAGTTTGGCCATCACTGCCCTAGTTGAAGATGTTGCTGGGACTGGCCTCTGGCCGCTCCCTCCCACTCTAGCCCTCTCCCAATGGACTCATCCCAAGCAGCCACAAACTCTGGTGAGGGCGAGGGATCCACCTCTGGGCCTATCTGGCCAATTGCTCAGCAGCATGCAAGGCTCTTCATGATCTGGGTGTCAGTGGAGGAGGAGAGATGGCTGAAGAGGGGCTGTCCAGCTGTTGGGCAACTGAAGCAGCATCTGGCTCCTGCCTGTCAAAGTCTGTGCTCACACTGCAACTCTTGGCACGCTACCCTGTCCTGGAACTGCTTTCACTCAGACCTCCTGCTTCCATCACCTCTCAGCTTGTTCCTTCCACAGACCAATCCTCAGTGTCCCACCACCACTGTCCTGGGTCTAAGTCTTCTTCCTCTGTGCCATCCTGGGGGGGGGGTGTTTCTTGGGCTAGTGCAGGCATAGGCAAACTTGGCCCTCCAGATGTTTTGGGACTACAACTCCCATCATCACTAGCTAACAGGACCAGTGGTCAGGAATGATGGGAGCTGTAGTCCCAAAACATCTAGAGGGCCAAGTTTGCCTATGCCTGGGCTAGTGTCTCCAACCACACTCCATCATCCAGCTGGACCCTGACAGATGGCCATCTAAGAAACCTCCAATGAATGAGAGTCCACCACCTTCAAAGGCATGTGGGCAGAGGCAGGTGGGTACACTTGCCCCAGGGTTTGGAGAGCTAAGCTATCTGGGGACCCCCACTAGCAGCCTGCATGACTTACACTGTAATGCCAAGAATGCCTCATGCCTCCCAGCCAACCACAGACTTAATGGGCAAAACGGCCATGGATGAAACTCATGCCTGTCTGTACACACTGCAAGGTTTCAACAGCAAGTGTCAGGTTGCCAGGCAAGGCTTCCCTTCCCCCTATCTGTAGATAAAAGACTAAAGCAGTCTTTTGCAGCAACAGAGAGGCTCATTGAACA